AAGATATTTTCCTTCTAAAAGAGGAGATTCAATGTTCCTAATCAAATGACTAAACTATTAGTTCAACCCAAAATTATTATGACATGCAAGTTCCTCCCCAGCTGTGGTGATCACCCTCCAAAAACTGCTTGAGTCAAACAGTGGCAGTACAAACTTGAGCAGAAAAATGTAGTGTATAGGTGGGGCCAACGCTTTCTTCACGGTGTGTTCCCTCAGGCATTTTCATGTTGCTTAATTCCCCCGCACTGCTCAGCCTTACCAGAAACTCTGCACCACAACTGAAGATTTACTGAGGGTACAAGCTCAGCTGAAATAGTTGGAGAATGACCATGACCTAGCTGGGAATGTGAGGCTCAGCAGCCAAGAGAAGGTTGTGCTCTGGGAGACCTCACTGAAGTGTGATGTGTCGCACGGGAGGCTTGTCTCCCTCCTGGGTGACTGTGAACTGAGAGCCAATGGAAGTAAAAAGTGCCATCTCATGGTCTTAAAACTGGTTTTATTTTTTCCTCCAAAGGTTCCATGCCTGTCTGAGCCTCTCCCAGTGACTGTGCACAGCCTGTGGCCCACAGCACCAGCAGCAAGGACACGTTCACAGTACAGGGACAAGAAGCACCCACCACCTCACACATCTGTGGGGTGTGTACAGTGAGGACTGGCAAAGGGCTTTGTAGGTTTGTTCTGTTACTTTTTGCCTTAGGAGTGGCAGGGGACAATTAACAAAAGCACAAATGCAGGAAAAGACACAGGAAAAGAGTTACAGATCCGTTCTCCCCATTGCTTGTTATTGTCTTGTGCTTATCTCATGTAACTTAACCAAGACAAGGGATAACTATGACCTGAAGTCAAATACTGATGCCACTTGCAAAAAGCGGATTTTTACTGCACTTATTTCAACTTATTTCAATACTGAATCTATCCCTGCATAGGGAATTGGCCAGAGGTGTGGGAATTAGAGAGATTCAGGTGGAAGAGATCACGCTACCAGGTGGAGAGAGGGTATAATAAGGGAGGGAGGGAGGCAGCTTTCTTTCTTTGGCAAGGGTGGGGTGGGTGGAAGCTGAGATACAGGACTGGGTTCATCTCTGCTCTGTTATTCTTAGTGCTTACATTAGCATAGTCTCTGGGAGCCCTGGCCATGGTTCAGCAGGGCACTACTCAAATGCAGAATATAAATGTTCATGTTCCCAAGCTCAGCTATTAAGAAGGAAGAAAAGAGCAGAGACAGACTGAAGAGTGTCATGGGCTACTCATTGTGATGAGCAGGAAGGAGTCTCAGGGCAGCAGCACTGCAGCTGGAGAGCTGCTTGAATTGGGCCCAGGAAGCATAGTTTAGAGGAATAGGAATTAATTAGGATGTCTAACTGTTGGATAATTATGGCAGTCCCAATAATAATGCTGTTTCTTCGGACTCCTCCACCTTTGTTTTTTTGCCCAAGCAAAAGAAGCAGCTGCATAGTGACATAGTTGTACTGGAGGCTTCAGTAACTCTTCTCTATCTTTCTGTGAATGGGACTGTTCTTTTATGGCAAGAATCCTGGGGGATAAAATCTCCAGGCATGTATATCATGCAAATATGCATAACAACATTGCTGAAGAGGCTGACTTGTCCCTGCAGTCCAGACTGCACCAACTGGTAAGTGATACCCCAGTATTTTCCTGGAATGATTTTCCACAAGGCTGTTAGGTGACAGTCACACACACTTACAGGCTAATTCATTTCTCTGTGTTGCTCAGCTGCATAAAACAACCTCTTATCTCACAGTTTATGAGCATATTATTTAAATAATTGCAAGTGCTACTCAGTTGCCTGGAGTGGTGTGAAAGCTCTTTGTACATGTGTGTAGCAGCACAGATATGATCCCAGAACAAGTTTAACTTCACAGGTAAATCTTCATGTGGCTTTTCAACATAAACTATCCTGCTAGCATTGAAGGCATACACCTTCTTTTAAAACCATAGTCTCTGTGGGATGTCTTGTGGATTCTTCTCACAACAGATCAACAACTCTGAGTCCTTTTCAGACAATTTAAATGCCCTTTTTCCATGGTGAAAAATCATGAAATATTCCTATAAATCAATTAAATACTATGCTCGGTGGAATTGGGCTGCTACTACTACTTGGAGTGCTCAGTGTTTTAATACTTAAATTGTGGATTATTTTTAAGGAGTGGGGAATGGAATGATGACAGTAAGTAATTTACAATTATTCTTGCTGTTACCTAATGTTAAAAATGCTTTCAGATAATGGCTCTTCCCCTTAGTGACTACCAGCTAGGGTACTGAAAATCACAGAATTAAATACAAAATCTGAATAACTTTTAATGTGGGTTTGACTGGGATCATGTCATGTATCAGCAGAGGAACAAATGCAGCTCTGACTTGCTGATGTCAGATGGCAGAACTCCAAATGCTCAATCCCTCCCATCTGGGGTTTCCTTCATCTTGTTCATTTTAGTTTCTAGTGAGTCTAGCACTTGCTAGGAAAACAAAATAATGCCAAATAGGACTTCTGCTGCTTATTTGTGCTGCACAGGCTATCCAATGCTAATGTTTTTCAAGTAATTTTTAATAAGGGATGCATGTTATTAACATTCCTGACCCTTATGGCATCTCTTTGGTAGCTGGAGCAGCTGGCGAGTGCTGTAAAGCTCTATAAAATGGTCTACATAGTCATGATAGAGCCTATTGCAAAACCCTCCATGGTTTCTGAAAAATGCTGGCCTTGTCAGAAACCTCAGGGTGGAGCAGGACTGGGAACATAAAGGTTGAGCAGGTTAATGATTAAAACTGTACGAAAATGTTTGCACGAGTGTGACTTACTGTACTTCTGCCTCTCATTTCCTGGCTCTTAAGCCTGTCCTTAAAAATAGCTCAGTTCAGACTGAGCCTCAGTTCAGGCCATCCTATGGGTGGCACGGGATGTCCTTGTGTGTTTTCAGGCAGATCAGCTCCAAGCAGTCTGGGCTGCAGTTCCCTAAATCTCACACTTGCACAGGGAAGGCCACTGTCAGGTTCAGTGAGTCAAGGCTGTCCTTGTAATGCAACAAGAACCTGTTAACACAGAGCAGGCAGGATGGAGTGTAACCTGTGTGTGTGAACTGTCAACAGCTCACACAATCTTCTGCACCTCTCCACAGGCAGGTTTGGAGCAGGGCTCTGCCTTTCTTGCTGTAGCTTGTCCCAGTTTTTCTCTTTGGATAACTGCCACTACATTATAAATAGACCACACTGCTAGGGCCTATATTCTGCTAAACCACACAGATCTGGGTGCTTTCAGATATAGCTGCTTTCTGAGTTCAAAGTCCTGCTTGCTGCCAAACCCATTTTCTCTCCTTAGCAAAAGAATTTCTGTCGCTGTGGTTGATGCCAGAGGTAAAGCAACAGTCCTCAAATGCACCTTCACCCAGATTTAATGTAGCTTTGCCTCTTTTCACATTTCTATCCTCAGAGCGACTTCAATTAAACAGTTTCTCACAGTTTGTGTTGAGATCTGAGCTGCTGCTCTCCCAGGCAGGATGAAATGGCAGGATTCAGTCCCTTTTCCAGGTCATTACACCAGCAGGTAAGAGACCATCAAAGCAGCTGACTCTGGGTTGTCACGTATTAACTCGGGCACAGTCATTTAACAAGATGTGAACAATATCTCCTGGTACAGGGTTTGGAATATATCCCCACAAATTTGTGTTGGGCAAAGGTGGATGAGTGCTCAGCACTTCCACCTGATGCCAAATCCAACCGGCCTGGGCCTGTTTCCCCACACAGCTCCTGGGAAGCTGGTTCATTACAGGGAACAGTGCAGTGCTCCTGGCATTTCACACAGTGAGATCTGAGGCAAATGGAATACCCAGCAGTCCTGTTTTTAAAGATATCGACTTCACAGGAAGCGTTTAGCTGCAGTTTGTAAGTATATTTTAAAGCCATATTCTTTGCATTAAAATGTCTGGATCTGGGTCTTAGTATCCTAAGATATTTTGGTTTTACTTCCAAATTTTTGATCTACCTCCTACCAAAAAAAAAAAGCCACCAAAAACTTGGCTCTTTCTTCCCTTGGCTACAGCTGGGCAAAGATTCCTGTTCTGCTGCCTGCATGGTTCACCTTAAACTCCCATCTAATAATCAAGTAAAGACCAGCAGCTGTAATTGCACCTTGCAGGTCTCACAGGCAAAGACACACAAGTTTTTAATGTACTATTTCTGGTGATAAAGGAGGAACTCTATAAAAAGAGCAGAAGAACTTATGGTCACTCTTTTGGCATGTCCCAGAACAGAATTCTGCATCAGACATTGCTCAACAGCTCAGAATTAGCAAAGCTGAGACATGTAGCACAAAGTAACACCAGGACTGTTTATGTGAAACCCAACTGTTTGTGTTCCCACAGCCCCTCTGGGTACACATTCGTCAGAAACTATTATAGGTGGGGAAAGATCTAAACACGCCCACTGTGTTTTCACTGACATTATTGCTGTGAAATAAGATTTTTCTAAGGCCTTTTCTAATTTTTCAAAGTCATAGCAAAATCTTTTTGCTTGCTGGAGCACTTAGCAGGATCCTTTGCTCATTTCTGCTTTGGAGTAGTTCCATGCTATATAATAAACTGAGCATGACATAAAGGGGGTCATTTACAACCCAAATGCATGTGCATAACCATTTTCCTTTGAAAACAGTATGTAAACTGCAGAGCAGTGATGGTTTGAGATATTCTACTGCTGCCATTAAGTCATCCCTGAGCAACTCAGCTTTAGTAACATTTCAGTGTATAATTATTGCGTGTGTGTGTGTGTGTCATCCCACTTTGGCAGCTGTGAGGTAAAGGCTTTGTTGTCTAGCGAGTTCCTCTCTGCTCCCTAATTTCAGACGTAGCAAACCCCGTACGGCCGCGGTGCTCCGGCGCTGGCCCTGTCTGAGCTCCCCAGCTGAGCACCCTGGATGACTGGAGGAGGGTGGTTTGGCGGTTTTAGGATAGTTTGGAGCTCGAACGTGGTTTTGCTCCTTTGGCAGATGAGCTCTGGATGTTGTTGCAGCATCAGCAGGGCCCTGCTTTGATCCTTGGGCCGTTCCGAGGCTCCTCGTCCCCGCCGGAATGGAGGTGTCGTAAGCAGGGTAAGTTCTCCGGGAACTCTGTGGGTGTTTGGGGCAGGTGATGTTTCTGGAGAGAGTGAAATCTCCAAGAGACAAACACAAAACCAGCTGTTCAAATGGAGAAGGTTTTTCTGTCGTGCTTGTTTCTGTTTTTCTAGTTTATAAACCCTGAGCTGTGCCACGTCGGCTCCTTGGGCATTCAGGAGTGAAGAAAGATAGACCTGATTTCATTTGTATTTGCCAGCCCCAAATCACTGTTGCACTTCCTAATTCCTGTGCCAAGGGGATCCAAAATATAATATCATACAGGCCAAACTTTATTACATTCATCTTCCACTGAAAGTTTCAGTTACTGTGGAGACTGTTGAAAGTAAAATCCCCAGGCTTGGTAGAATAGTTTTTATTTCAACTCAGTAAAATTTCTTCCTTTTATTTAATTCAGAAATAAGCTTAAAGCACTTTTCCTCAGGGAAAAACATTGCTTTTCAGAGTCTTTTTAAACTTCTGTTAGGAAAAACCTTCATAGGAAAGAACAAATTTCTCCTCGAGAAGCAAATGAATTTTTGATAGTGCATACTAATGCCCCTGAAAAGTTTAAAAATCTTACAAAAATATGAAACTCTTTTCTATCAAGTGAAACTTTCTGCTGATAGGACTCATAATGCTTTAAGTAATGCACAAAAGTCAAAATGAAGTTTTATCGGCTTTCCCCTCGGGGAGGGGAATTTCTTTTTTATGAGCCAGTAAGAAATTAGGTCGCAGGTGCTGGCAAGTGTCATGGGCTGTTGGAAGGATCCTGTGAATGGAACAGTTATTGACAGTCACTTCCACTCCTCTGCCCCCAGGGAAGAAGAGACCTTTGTGCCATGATATCACAGCTGAGGGTTTCTTTTGATTTGTAGGATTCTCTGTTTAGCCACTTCATTTACAGTTATTGAGCTGTGAAGTTATAGGTATGTATGATTTTTCTTGTTCTCAGGCAAGCACAAGGTGAGTCTGTGATAGTGTGTAAAGTGCCTGCTTACTGTAGGAATGGCAGAATCCCATTCACCATTACAGATAAATACTCTGCTGGGGGTCAGATACCAAGTCCTCCATGTCCTCAGATCCCCTTCAAAGTAATTCTCAATACTATAAATCAATGCAGTGGTTTTGTCTTGCTGCCGACTTCAAATAAGCCACTTCCCTGGTGGCCTGTAAGTAACAATTAACTTGATAATGGGAGTAGAAAATAGTTACAATAAAAGACAATGCTCCATATCAGGTTACATAAGCGACATGATGTGACACTTTTCAGGCTGTTGCACTGTTTTTCTCTACATGTCATAGATTAGAGAAAATGATAGTGCCCTGGAAGCTGTTGATGAAGGCCCTGGCTTAGTTTTCCTGTAAGCATACAATTAATCGTGATTAAAAATGAAGCAGACGCTACCTCAGCACTGTAACGAGGTACCTCTGCTGTTGTGCCTGCAGTTATTTACTTGTGCAGGCTGAGATCTCATTTAAAACAGGCTTTTTGGCTGAGACTACAGTCAAATGTCCTGTGTGCTTTTGAAAGCTTAGTCCCTGTATACAAAAGTGAAAATCTTTTTCCTTCCCAGAGTGTTTTGCTGATGGTTCAGCAGCCCTTCATCATCCAGTACAACTCCAATGCTATCTTTGACTATTTTCACCTCTCCTAAATGATGCAGCCTGTGCTTGAGCCACTGCTAAAATCTCTGTGGTGGAAACTGGCTGCAGAGATGAGGCTTTGAGCTGCTGCCCTTGCAGAAACGTGTTGCCGTGTCTGAGCAGCTCCAGCATCTCTACAAAGGAGAGGCTCTTCCTCGTGGCCACTCTGTGCTTTAGAGATTTAACCTTGGTCTTTATTTCTCCAGCTCTTCCTGCCCCTCTCTCTGACCCCTCTGACTTTGCTCACCTCCCAGCTGTGCCCCTCTCCATTTGGCAACGCCTTTTGCTGACACACTTTTGGAATTTTTAGTCTGTTTCCAGTTATTCTCTTGCTTTAAAGTCACTCATTTAGTGCAGCTATTTAATGCCCATCTCTGTCATATTCTGGTCCCCTTGTATGTGATTTATGTCCAGTGCCACGTTTGCCTCTTCCTTGAGATGGGAAATGTCTTTGCCCATACACTGCTTTGTATTCTTAAAGTACTTAGTAAGAAGTAAATAGCAGAATTATTTATGAACTGAGTAAGACAACAGTCATTTGTTTTAGCTGTGTTAAGACTAAATGTTTATCAGTGTATTCACTGACACAACATGTGTCTAGAGACTACGTGAATTGCATTTCCAATGGCATGGACAAAAGCCTTTCTCCTGCCTCGACTGTGGAATATCCAAGTTCAGTTCTTTTGTGCATTTACTGCAGTGAAAGCTACAACGTGCTTTGTATGCAAGTGTACTAAGTAAAAATATTTTCTCTTTGTAAATTATTTCTATGGAAGTTGTGATATGAATTCTTAGGAAATGCATCCAAACTAGGCGTGTTTCCAAGTTGCTCTAGTGTGAACACATCTATCAATGGTAGAAAACACAATAAAAATTTATTTCCATGCCTGTTTCTTAAGCCAACCTTTGCAAGGTAAGGAGTCCTTTCCAATATTTGAAATTCCTATTCCATTTAGTGCCAAGAAACGACAGCTGCACTTACATGTGTTTGGGCCCTGTAAGCTCTCAGTTCTCTGTATGTGGGATTGAAAATTCCCATAATTAAACATTTGTTGTTTATGCATTAATAGACTCTCATTCAAATATCAATGTATTTGATATTCCTGGCTCCTCTCTCACACCAGGTGTCATGTCTTTTCAAACACACTCCTCAATCTGCTTTTTGTATCTTGATATTCCCATAATGAAGGAATCCTGGAAGGAATCATTGACAGCACTGTGACAGGAGCAGAAAGTTTTGTGTGTACATTTGTCACATTAAGGAGAGTGGAGTAGGAGGGGAAAAAAATGTGTAGTTCATTTTGTGCAAACTTGCAGGCAAATTATTTTTGCCATTTGTCCTTGGGTATGGAGGGCACTCCCCTCATTTCCTGGGAAATGCATCCCTGACCTCGTAATGGTTTTACATTCAGTGAATTTTAATGTATCCTGAACTCACCTTCTCGCTTTCAAATTATCCTGGGTGATTTAAAATGATGCCCTTGAGTGTTAGATTGAGAAACAGGGAGATAGTTATTCATTATTACTTACAGAATTCATGCTGTGGGTGTTCAGAAGCAGGTAACGTGCATTGAGATCCTTTTCTGTCATGTGGTGGTGACAATTTCCATCCAGTAGAATCACAATTTTTTTTTTTCTTTTTCCTGAAGAAATGTTGAGAAATGTCACCAGGACACAAAAAATTCTGGATATTATGCATGTGATGGTTTAGCTGAGCTCAGCCTGGGCATTGGATTCAGTCTCTTACTTCAGCTATTTTAAGGCAGTGAAAAGTTTCAGGGATTTTTTGTTCACTACCCTTCATGTCTGGAACCTTCCTTCAAATATTGTATCAGTTGTACAGACCTTCCTGAAATTTTTCTGGAATTTACCACTTTTCTGAAATTGTCTTGGACAAAGCAGACTACTCAGATTAACTGTAAATATTCACAAACTTTAGAGGTACTTCTAAAAGTCTTCTCTGAATAACATCCACTGTCGTTGTGATTGACAGATCTCCTTCAGTTTAATTTAGGCACAGGCTTGAATTTATAGTTCTACTGGTGCCACTTTTAATGGTACTTCTCCTAGAATTAAATTTAATGAGTCAAGTATAAAACCCTCCTGCCTTGATACACGAAATGGCATGTGCTTAGCAACTGAAAAATGAAAAACTTAAAACCCAATCAATCTTTGTGTGTTTATTTGTGCATAAATAGGCAATTTGGTCACTATACTTCCTTCAAATGAACAGGAGTCAAGTAACCATGAATCTCTCTACTGCAGGAACATGATTAAAGATAACAACGAAGCTGTTCCACTAATGGGCAAGAAAACAAATCCGTCTGGAATTCCCCCTTCAAACCAGCAAGAGAAAAAGGTGACTGAAAGCACCCCCACGAAGAAAAGGTAGGACTCCAGCTCAGCCTAAACCACTAAAACTCCCTGGTTTATCTCCTTTAGTTGATGTTGGCACTGAAATACCACTAACATCTGTATTTACACTGCAAATATGAGTGAGAGAGACCTGGTAACACAAGATGCCTTCACATGACCATGCTTATGGTGTTTATGAGTGGAAGAGTTAGGAACACATATGATGTGTTTACTCTAATGGGACAAATATTTAACCCTTGTCCCAGAGCCATCAGGCTCATATACCAGTCTTTAAAGTCTGTTTCTGATCTGTTTTGATTAACAATACTTCATTGTTTTATAAAATATTCACTTTCATTCATAATTTATATTAGAGAATTAATAAAGGGACTAAGGGTTTGTGTTTAATATGAGTGGGGAAATATAAGCTGTAATTCCTGCCTGATACCATGCTATTGAAGTGAACTAAGTTACTGTAGAGCAAGGATGAATTTTCATTCATAAACTTTTCACTCTGGATAATTACTAGTTATTATGGCAATTTCTGAAACTCTGAAGGCCTAGGCAATTGTGGCTGTTCTGACATTTATAATTCTCAATAATCAGAGGAATCACTTTTCACAGAAATGGTGCCATTAGTTATTTGAGACCCACTGCCTGGGTGGTCCAATTTGTCTTTCTGTCATTAAATTCCAAAAGAGAAGCTCTTTGGTGGCGTATGGGGGAGACGAGGTGTCTGAACAGCTCGTGATACACCCAGGACTTCAAAAAGGGGCAATTCCATGGGAGCTTGCGTGGTTGTAAGAACACTGCCAAACCCAAGCCCTCAATTACTTACCTCATATCTCACATTCAATTTTGTGGCCTCCAGAACAGTAACTGTGGGGTTTTTCCCACCTCTCACACCACGAGGGGTGTGGCCCACAACATTCCTGTGATACACAGCACCGAGGTCCCGTGAATTTTAATGCAGGGGTTTAACATGTTCTATTAATTATATGTTCCTGTGCTGCTTTATCCTGTTGCTGCAAGACACTTCCTCCAACTGTGCCACCAGCAGCTGCTGCACTTCCAGGGTGGCATCTCTCACTCAACAGAATGTACTGGCAATATGCATTTTCTTGAAAGACAATGACATTCTCTTCTCAAAGGCCCTGGAATTTGGACTAACAGTATATAATTAAGTACAGGAAAACTGGGAGGAGGCTGCAAACGTTGTCAGAGCCTGCTGATGTTTGTGGGCAGTGCACCAGGGCCACGTAAGCACTTGGGTATTTGCTGGCAGCTCTCCAACTGCTTTGCACGGTGGCTTTGGGGTTTTTTTTTTTCCCCCATGATATCCCCAGGTAACCCACATGCCAGGGTAGGTGAGGTCTGGCAGCCTCCAAAACAGGGTTCACTCCATAGCTGCTGTACCTGCCAAAACCTTCAGCAGGAACACACTGCTGGGAGAGCAGGAGCTGCTCCGAGACATCAGCCTGTGATGCACTGTCCCCTCAGGTGAGAAGGTCCAGCAGAGCCCAGACCTTGACACTTCTGGCTTTAGGGAGCCTCGCTGCAGCCTCCAACAGGTGTTTGCCTGTTGGGACAGCTCCTGCACTTCATGGTCAGGGAATGCAAAAAAACAGGATGAATCCCTGTTTTTTCCACTCCTCCACAGTCCCTCTGCCAAGTCCAGACCTCAGTGAAACAGCAGTGACTGGCACAAGTGATGGTCCTGGTTCTGTCTGGGTTTTTCCTACCCCTGCCCAGGTAATTTCAGGGACACAGTCCTGCTAACCAGAAGTGACATTTTACTTGCTGCCTGCTTAGAACACGTTCACAGGCACATCTCAAATGTTAAAAGGTCATAAAAGTTTAAATAACTACACACAGTGAATTATCACTTGGGTCACCAAGCCACTGGAAAGTGAGATGAATTAGGTCATGCTGTTTTTAGCAAACATCAGCAGGTTGTTCAATAGGGTTCTAATAACATACTGCATTTTAGCATCACTACATGTACTTGACTTCAACAGGATTCTTTGGGGAAGATGCAGTTAAAAAAGAGAAAGAAATACCCTATGGACTAAACCATAAATATTAAATGAATTGGAAGCATTTTCCAGGTGACTACTGGAACATTTTTAGAAATGTAACACAGTTTCTGAACAACAGCCCATGTGGGAGTTGCTACACCCACCACTGGAACTTCTCTCTCTGTGGTGAACTGTAGCAATGTTTTAGTGAGATCCAGTAATACCAAGCCATTGATTTTTGCCTCTCAACTCTGCAGGCTTTTAAAGGATGATATCTTCCTATTCTTTTCATTTGCCTTTTCTGTGTTGCTTCAAATTATGTTTTTCACTATAAATAATTACATATATATTTATATAATTATTTATCAGGAAAAAAATAGATAAATGTCATGCATGACTGGCAAGAGGACACAGTCAGTCCTGGCTGGTGGAAATGCCTGATGTCATTTAACATGTGACCTTTCAAACATTCTGATTTAATCATTATCACTGCTGATGGGTTTGAAATGATCCATCTGATGGCTCCTGGCTGGAGAAACAGGGAGTAGGATGCAGTAGATTAAAAAGCAGTTGTGTGTGTGTAGCTGGGCAGTGACTGGGGTTGCATTTGGCTCTTTGCACTGGAGCTGAATGCAAGGCTGGTTTAGGGCTGCTGGGGTTGCTCTTAGACATGTCAGGATCTGATGCCATGTGTTCTAAAAATACCTTAGGAATTTTGCCCATCTGCCAGCATGAAAGAGCTGGGCACAGTGCTGGAGGTTGGGATCTCCCCAGGGGAAAGCAGATAAGCCTCTGTTCCAACATCTTGTTAGGTAATGCCAGAAAAGATTAATTGTCAAGCCTGCCCTAGGTATGTACTTGTAGAGCTCTGCTTGGTCTGTGGTTGCTAATAGTTTTTAAATCCACTGTCTTCAACAGTTCCCACTTTTTCCTGGAGATTGATGGTTTTGAAAGCAATGCCACTCCAAATAACACATCTCCCCCTGTGTTTTCAAAACCAATGGATTCAAATATTCGTCCCTGGTAAGTTATAGATGCATCTGCAATAGTCATACTGCAAATATATCTATTTTCTTTCCAGCAGCTACTCCTTATTTGTCCTTAGACTCCAGTGCTAGAATTTCACATGAGATTTCATAGCTTTTGGTCACTTCAAAGACAGAACTTCACTGGAGTCCATTGCTGATCAGTAGATGACTTATCTTTATCTACTGCTGACACTTGCATGGAATAAATCAGGCCTCAGTTTTAAGTAATTTTAAAATCAGTACTTTTTTTATTCTTAGCCTCTCATTAATGGTACATTAGAACAAACTCCACAGCTTAATTTAGCAAACCCTGTTCCCAGCTGGGTGCTGACGTCCTCCCTCTATTGCTCATTAGCAATCAAACAAAGTGAAAATGCTGAGTCTGAAATGTTTAAAGCAGCCATTTATGCTGAATGAATGGAGAAAAATTATGACTGGGAAGAATGCGTGTCATTTTTAAAAATGTGTGAGGTGCCAACAGCCAATAACGATGAATAAGGGAAATATGTAACAAATCTGCCAAAAGCCCAGAATGGCCAAAGGTTTTTGTGTTTCTGATGGGTGTCTGCTCAGCTTTTTGGAATTAGCTGACAGTCTGATTTTGGTTTCAGAGGAGAGATATCCAAATTTCTTCCTCTCGTTCAGGGACTGACCTGCACAAGACACACACAGTTTTTGCCAGACATTCCTCAGTTTTCTGCAGGAATGACAGATGGAATAAAAACAGACTCTGAGCTCCCAGCTTTAGTTCAAAGGGAAGGGAATACCTTCAGAGCAGTGCTGGACACTTGCATTGCTGTCCATGCACCTGTTTTGTCAATAACTTATAGTTCAGATTCCTGAAATTATTAACCTGAGGTAGTTCATCAAATCTGAACCTTGCAGAAAACAAAAATAAAAGTAAGAAAAATTATAATGAGTTTTAAAGTCAGATCTGCTTGTAGGGCTGTCTGGAAATTATGTACAGCAATTACAAAATACCAGTTCCATTGAAATCCTCTAAATATATTAACTAAATACGTATTTAAGGCCCAGTCCTCAACTTCTTTTAGCTGAAGCTTCCATTCAAGTCAGCCACAAAATGCTCCTGAGTTGCCAACAGTGTTCTGTGTAGTAAAACTTTAGGTAAATCACTTCCATTCTGGGTTTGCAACCCACGTGCTGCTACTGATTTAGCACTTGTTTTGTGGCAAATGACAAATTAAGCATGTGAAAAGGAAGATTGTAGCATTCAGGATGATGCATAAAATGCAGTGATCGTTTTAAAAAAAAAGGAAGAAAAAACTTCTCACATTTTCGGTATCTGTAGTGAAATAATATAACACAAAGCAGATTGCTTTCCTAATGTGTTTTTTTAAAATATAATAAAATCCTGTGAGTCTCTCAATTTTTACCACTTATTTTAAAATTCGTGTGGGAGATAAAATTCCAGAGTTAAAATGCACAATTTCAAATTAGACTAATTTTAGCTCTGCTGTAGATACTGCCTCCTACCACTGACTGATTCTTCATGCAGTTTGCTAAAATATCTTTTAATATCTTTGCACATGTGCTTTTCTGTTTTCTTTAGTGCTTCTGGAAATGGGGAAGACATGGATTCCCCACAGTCTCTTCAGGATGATGCCACTGAGTATAGTCCTAATGTAGACAGTTGCTGGTGAGTGGAGACAGGAATATTTCTCAGTACATTTTCAACAGATTAAGTTTATGACAGGGAAGATATTCCTTATTTTGCCTGCCATGTTTAAGGAAAAAGGTCATGTGTGTGCACGCATTTCTGATTCCTCTATAATTAAATGTTGAAATAAACAACTCTAATCTCTGCTTTTCTCAGATTTCATGCTTAGTGTGAGGATTCTTCATACCTAAAGTCTGTTTTCTAGATGACAACACAGGACCTACACACCATGCACAGCTAGGCATGAGCTGGGGGTGTTTCTGACTGGGGGAATTATTAAATCATTCTTATTCCAGAATAATAGATAATCAGGAAAGAGTTGTCAGATATGAGGTTAAAAACTATCTTCTGCTGGAGTGCAGCATCAGGAACCTCAGCACTGAAGTCAGTGAGTTGTGGGCAGATCAAAGAAGTATTTCTCGGCCTTTGTTCTAAAAGAATGGGTGAACTGGTGAGAACACAAAACAAAACACTTGAAAAATGTGCTGGTTTATTATAAAACACCTCAATAACCACTTACCTGCAAATAAGCAAACTGGGAACTGTTCTGTGAGATCCATACCGAGATATATGTGGAAGCAGGGCAGGTATGTGTTGTCTGAGGCAAGTAATTGTATTTTTATTCCCTCTTCTGTAGAAAATAACATAAAAATATAGTAAATGGAATCAGGAATTTCGTTATTTCTTGCAATCCAGTGCTAACATGTCCCAAGGACCTGAGCAGACCAGTGCCAGGAAGAAGCTGAAGCGATTCCTGTTCCGGGCAGTGTCGGAGGGGAACGTGGAGGAGCTGCAGCGTCTGCTCGGGGAGCTGAAGGAGCGATCCAGTGCCTGCACAAACATGACTGTGCCAGGTGAGGGGTGCAGGTACCCAGGGGGAGACTGTTGGCTCTTCTGGCAGCACATTTGCAGCCTAAAACTGGGAATTATCTCTGTGCAGCAGCTACTTCCCTGTGAATTTGGATCTGTCTGGAGTTATGGCGGTGGAATGTCCAACAGGAAAACCAGTGGCAAAGAGTTTATGTTCATATATATCCTTCAGGTTTCACCCCTAATTAACAAAAGTTTAGTAAATCATGATGATCTAATCCTAAAAATTCACTCTTGTAGATTATCTGATGAAAAAATTCACAGCTTCAGATACCGGCAAAACTTGTCTGATGAAAGCTCTGCTGAACATCAACGAGAACACAAATGAGATAGTGAATATGCTCCTGTCCTTTGCAGAAGAAAATGGTATTCTGGAGAGATTTATCAATGCAGCTTACACAGAAGAGGCATATAAAGGTACTGCCATCTGATACCAGTTTCAGGTATATGGTTAAACATACCATCCATAAAATACCATTCTCCTCAAACACTCTAATGATGGTTTAAATTCCTAAACCAACTTTAATTCATTTATTCACTGGTGCTATTCACTGTGAAATATCATTGATATTTCAGAATGTACTAGAGAGATTCCTGTGTCTGTTTTTTCAGGCCAGACAGCTCTAAATATTGCCATTGAGAGGAGACAGTATGAAATAACCCAGAGCCTCATAGAAAAAGGAGCTGATGTCAATGCTCGTGCCCAGGGTATTTTCTTTAATCCCAAACATAAGCATGAAGGCTTTTATTTTGGTAAGTGGAAATGTGATCTTTCTGGAAAAGTTAAGAAGGAATACCCAAAGCTTTTATAAAACAAGAGCTTAACTCAATACAATCAATAGTAAATGTACTTTCGTATGTTAAGATTCTTAACACAGTCACTCTTTTATAATCTGATTTGTAATAAAACATGAACACATGTTGCATTTTATGATTTTTATAGGTGAAACTGCCCTGGCATTAGCTGCCTGTACCAACCAACCAGACATAATTCAACTGTTAATGGACAATGCCAGGACTAATATTTCTTCTCAGGATTCCAGAGGAAACAATATCCTCCATGCATTAGTTACTGTGGCAGAGGACTCCAAGACTCAGAATGATTTCGTAATCAGAATGTATGATATGATATTGTTGAAAAGTAAAGACAAAAATTTGGAAACAACAAAGAATAAGGAGGGTTTGACACCACTACAGTTGGCTGCAAAAACTGGGAAATTAGAGGTGGGTATTATTTCAGTGGCATCTAAGAGAAACTAGTGCTCTGACACATCCTTTTTCAGCCTGGTTATGCTGTTATGTATCAGTAGTATTTAGTGAGCTAATTTTGTTTAAAACACAAGCAAACATTTTCATTGCCACCTTGCTTCTACCTTTCAAGGTTTCCCTGTAACTACCCCTCTCTGTATAAAATACACATTGTTTAAAAACAGCTTTGCAAACCCTTCTGTTGCACAGAAACTCAGAAATTCTGCATTTATTACCATATTGCACTTATGCAGTCTTTGAACAGTTTCAGAAAACTCACTGGAACTGCTCTGTTACGCTGCTGTAGAATTTAGTTTTCAGAAATCTACTGAATTGTAAAAAATTGGCAATGGGATAATTTAGAAAAGAATTGTTTAAGTTGAAGGAAGACATAAATGAACACATGGAAAATTTTGCTTTTATCCCTTAGAAAAATGACTCTGACAGAAAATATGGAGGCATTAGAAACTCTGTATTTAATTCTTGGAGGTCTTTCATCTCCAACACACAATTACAAATACACTGACTTTGCACAACTGTACAAAATGTGACAGGCAAAAGGTTGGGGTTTGAGCCTGTTATGTTCATGTGCTTTCCCCTTTCCCATGACCAACACAGCTGCTCACAAATGATCCTGTTAATGTTTTAGATTCTGAAATACATCCTGAGCAGAGAGATCAGAGAGAAGCCAAACAGGAGCCTGTCAAGAAAATTCACAGACTGGGCTTATGGTCCTGTTCAGTCTTCTCTGTATGACCTGACAGAACTGGACACCACTGCAGACAACTCAGTGCTGGAAATCATTGTCTATAACACAAATATTGGTGTAAGTTACCTATTTTTAAAATACAGATCCATTTTTTCCTAACAGTACACTCATTTCATATGGGTTAGTCTATGTATTCCAATGAATTACTTGTAAGAGTAAACTGTAATTTTTGTTCTCGGTTTTTGTATCGGGAGCAAGATAAATTTTATACCTCTGTAGATGGTCACCTGTAAGAGAATATGCATTCAGCTCCTGAAACATGGGCTAGGCATTTTGGGAATGTCTTTTCCTGCATTAGAAGCATTAATTTACCTCGTGTTTAAGTATGGCCAAGCTGGTCAGGCCAAATAAACTTCACTTAATAGGTATGTATTTTACATGTTTAGGAGTGTTTGCTTTTCGAAGCCAGAATTTTACATTTGCTCAATTCTAATACTGCCAAAAAACCACAAGACCAGAAGTTCACATGACAGTTTTAGCTCCATCATAACTTACCAGACAGAGAATGGCAGGTTACCCCAGCATGAGTGGGAACTGTCCCATTGCATCTTGTCATGTTGGGGTCTGACCCGTCTCTGAGCACAGATGTGTTTCTGGATCAGAAAGGTTGGGAACTGAATGAAATGCACAAAGTACATGACTGAAATTCAAGTTTTAATTGGTTTATTTTTGTTTTTTCCCCCTACAGAATCGTCATGAAATGCTGACTTTGGAGCCTCTGAATTCCCTCCTGCGAATGAAATGGAAGAAGTTTGCACGACACATGTTTTTTATGTCCTGCTGTTTTTATTTCCTGTACAATGTAACTTTAACATTAGTTTCCTACCACAGGCCTAATGAAAATAAAGTGAGTACAGTGACTGAATCTCACCAAATTTCACTGACTTAAAATGCAGTAGGGTTTCCTGAATTATATTGAAAATGCTAAACCAGAAGCAGTTGTGGGAATATCTGGCTGTAGGGAGACCAGGCTCTCCCACATCAGGTACCTGGAAGGAAGCAGAGCAGTAAGAGGATATAACTACATTTGCATTTTGTGAAAATGACCCAAAATACAAATACAAGACACAAAGACAGGTTGTTAAATTTCTAAAAGTGTGGAAAAGGTATTTTTCTGTTAATAGAGAAACTTCTGCTATTTCAAATATATATCTATTAAGGGGCTAATTCTTTAAATCCACCATGAAAAAAATCCTTACAGAAAGGGAAATAAATTGTGTACCCATATGGGGAGGTTTCTTGTTGCTTTACCTTTTACCTTTCAGGTAAAACTGAGTCTTTATTTTTGGACCTGTCTTGCAGGCTCCACCTTATCCACTTGCTCTGACACGTGGAGTGGGATGGCTGCAGCTGTCAGGACAGGTGATGGTTATGTTAGGAGCAATATTTTTAGCCATTAAAGAGGTAAGACTTTTTATTAACAAATATATAAATAACTACATGAAGAACTTCTCTAGATTTATGAACATGCTGCTGCTTGATATCCACAATACATGTGGAGTATCTTTGATGTGTGTAACTTTTTAAGTCTTTGGCACACTACATTGCTTACCAGAATGATTCTGGTTGTGTATTTGAATGCACCTGTATTGCTCTGTGAAACAGCTATGAGGGTGTTTTCCCTTCAAATTTTCAAGGCAGAGATTTGATATTTTTATAACATCAACATTGTCAAATTACTGGCTTTAAGGACACTTTTGAATTAGAACTTCTACTGGAAAAAACGTGGTATAATTTTGCCAAATACTGGAAGTCATTAAACCCAGTAACTTTTAAATTATGCCAGACATGACAGAGTTTTAAACTTAGAAGTTACAGCTGTATAAAAAAAACCAACTCTATTTCTGGAGGTTATCATGTCTTATTAGTAGATGCATTATTTTAGAACACCAACGAAATTATTTTGAAAACTAGATTTTGAGACCTGCTTTCCCTTACTACCACATCTATATTTTCTATATCTGTCTGCATAGAGTGTAGCCATCTTTCTGCTCAGGCCCTCAGACCTGCAGTCAATTCTCTCTGATGCCTGGTTCCACTTTGCATTGTAAGTCTGATGTGCACATATATATTTTATACTCTGTATAAAATGTTTCTGTATCTCATGGTCACAGGGAATGTGCTGCTGTAGCAGATGCTCATCTTTTTCTCTAGATTATCAGATTTAGAGGGATGGATGTAATCTTACCTGCAGCTTTTCTGTAACAGCTGTTTTGGGGAGAATAGTTCACTGAAAGTCAGCTTTAATAAATATAATCCTTATATATTGATATACTTACACCACCTGTACTGATCTATTTTATTGTTAAAAAATAGTGGCAGTATTCATGGGGAGAATACAAAGCAGAATGCAATTACAAACTAAGCATAAAGAGTGAAGAAGTCTTGTTTTCATGTTTTTCCACTGTGTTGTTAGTTTTGTGCTAGTAATTTCTCTTTTACATATATGTGTTTGTTTTTTAACAGTTTTATACAAGCTTTGCTTGTGATCTTCTCTGTCTTTTTGTACTTGTTTTCCTACAAAGAACACCTGGTGTGTCTTGTTTTGGCAATGGCCCTTGGATGGGCCAATATGCTCTATTTCACCAGAGGTTTCCAGTCCATGGGCATTTACAGTGTGATGATTCAAAAGGCAAGTTTTTCTTTTGTTTTACCTCCTTCATAATCCTCACTTGTTCTACAATCCATATCAAGTACATTCAGCAATTTAGTTGTATTTTATAGTTCATATTGAAATGTCTTATTTTCAATTTATGCATATTATTTCAGCAGGGCACACTAGATAACTTCAGTGGCAGAATCTAGTTTATATTTTCAAATAGACATTTTATTATGTTTAATTATTATACTGAATATAATTTTGGGTTTTTTCAACTAATGTAGTTCTGCAATTTAATTGCATCACATGCTGTAATGTCTGTATTGTACAGAATTAGTCACCCTCACTCAACACATCAGGCTCTCAAGCATGAGATAACAAATCAGACCTTTGTGTTTCTCACTGAGACTAAACCAGTTTACTCAATGAAAGCAGTCTGATACTTTACTGTGTGCCTCACCTGTATCCCTGCAGAATTCATAAGCATAAAACTAGTCCTCCATTTTAATTTCTGACAACTATTTCATTTAATTTCTAGGTCATCCTGCATGATGTGATAAAATTCTTAGTTGTCTATATCGTGTTTTTGCTGGGATTTGGCGTAGGTAAATATTACTGGAGAAAAGCACTGATGATGCTCTGTGTGAGTAAAAATTTTAGCATTGTTATTCATAAGAACCCTGTTTTCATGATGAGAGCTCATGTTGGGGTTTCTTCTGGATATTAAGTTTAGATGTGAACAGATGAGTCATTTGGCTCTTAATTGCCTGCAACTCCATTTGGACGTGGGCTCTTTCTGCTTCCTGGAAATCCCTCATCTGGCTGCTGTGTGTTGCTGGGCAGCTCTGGCTCTCTTTCCCAGTGCACTGTGAATTCTTTAGGATAAAATGCCACGTATTGCTGAAGCATGACTGTGATTGAAATTTCCTCCTGCTTTCTCCTCAGCTCTTGCTGCCTTGATTGAGACCTGCCACGAGGGCGGCGAATGCCATTCCAACAGCAGCCTGGGACCTGTGCTGATGGATCTCTTCAAGCTCACCCTGGGACTGGGGGATCTGGAGATCCAGCAAAACTCCAAGTATCCTGTCCTGTTTCTTCTGCTCCTCATAACTTTCGTTGTGTTGACTTTTGTTCTCCTCTTGAACATGCTGATTGCGTTGATGGGAGAAACAGTGGAGGATATTTCTAAAGAGAGCGAGCACATCTGGAAACTCCAGGTTTGTTTGGGAGTTTGTTTTGTGAAGTTTGTTTAGCCCAAGTTTAACTGCTTGGGCTAAAAATCTCTTGAGCTGTGTCTATGGTAGCTCATACTGACACAACAGGTTAGGCACTAATGATAATCCCCATTTGTATATGTGAGTGAATAATGGAAATAACTAATTTCAGTGTCAGAGAATTGTAATAACTTCAGATTTAACAACTTCTAAAAATGATATTGTGGCTTGGATTTCCAACCCATGCGCTGTCACATACCTTCATGACTTTTGCTCTCCTGGATATGGTGTTTCACCATCACCAGGAATCTGTGAATCCCAATTTTCCCACACAAACAATCAGTGATGTGCCACATTGTTTGGTGTTGCTTGTGGGTGGTGGGATGGAGGCTTGACACGTTGTAATGAAGCTGCAAACTGCATATGCTGTGGAATCAGACAGTATTGGACGTGGTTAACCATACTCATTTATTGTTAATAGAGAGCCAGAACTATTTTGGAATTTGAAAAATTCTTGCCAAAATGTTTGAGGAAAAAATTCCAGCTGGGGGAGCGGTGTAAAGTGGCTGAAAACGACACCAGGGTGTGTTTAAGGTAAAGCAAAGCTAGATTACTGTGCTATCAATTCTGCCTTGTAGGCTGCTTCAGGGTTACTTCTCTTTAAAATATTCCTGGTATCTCTACAAATTATACTGGGTGTACAAAAATATAATTTGGGGTGTTTTTTTTCAGTTGTGACCAATTGTTTTAAAAAAGGGAAGGTGTAGATAATTTTTTGGTAAGAAAACAGATTTTCATCTTCATATATGTCTTTACTTTGCAAATATCAAGTCTGCTTGCAGTAGATGTTATTTTGTCATAATCTCCTTTGAATGTTAGCTTAAAAGTAATTATATATAAATTGATTGCTATTTGGTGATTACCATATTAAAGAACGATGCTGTTTTATCAAAAATACTGAAAGTGTGTTTCAAGCTGTACTCACAATGTGTTAAATTATAAAGCAGTCTTGGTATCATTCTCACCTTCATGTGGTACCTAACACTGCAAGGGACAGTCAGCCTTTTAGTCCCAGGAAAGCAGGTGTAGGTGGTAAAGTGTGACAATCCCAAGAAAGGATAAAAAGGAACGAGCAGCAATGTAGCTGGGAGATAATGCATGATAATAACACGACTTATATCCAATATAAACAGGATTAATGAAGTGAAATGGACCGAGTGGAAAACACATGTTTCATTTATTAATGAAGATCCAGGGCCAACAGGTACTGTGGGGTTTTATGACACTGTATTTTTGAAAGCTTTTCTTATAAATGCTTGGATTTTATACCTTTAAAACCATAAAATCACATAATCTAGATGTTCAGCCACACTTTACTGCTGCAAAAACTGATAGTTTACATGGTAGGGGTGTTAAATTATTTTAAAAGATTTGGAGTGAGGGTTGGTTACAAACATGTAATGATTTGTGATAGGTGTTGGATGACAAATTGCCCCTCATAAATGTTGACCAGGAAATCCAGGAGACTCCTCTGCTGCCAGTGCTGGAGTGCTGTGGAGAAATGAGCTCAGCCTGAGGTGTCCAATGTCCCTCTGGCAGCAGGAGTCAGGACACAACAGGGGCATGTGAGGATCTGGGAGACAGACTTGTTCTGAAGTTTCTTCTTGAGCCAATTAGCATTTATATTGCTTAAAGAATGAGCTCAGTAATAAAGAAAAGGGGCAGCCAGAACAATTTGTGTAAGATATGGTAGTAAACTGACAACTTGCTGTTTAAATAAATGCATATTTTTAACAAAAAAAAAAAAAGATGTACAAAACTTTGATCTTGCAAACACAGTTTCTACCATATCCTGTTTTGTTTACAATGCATTTTTTTGCAGATCCAAGCAAAATTCAAGATAATTCAAGAACTAATAGCAAAAACACCTTGAATACGTTTGAAGAAATGGATGATTTGCCTGAAACTTCCGTTTAGCTTGTGCTGTGTTTGATATGTGGCTGTTCTGAAGGTTAAAAAGCATCAGCAGTGGATGCTGAAAGCTTTGTGGATGTTTTGGACAGCTGTAACCAGCTGAAACACGAACTTTCAGTGACACAGTCTGATGGCTTGAACCCATTTAATCAGGGCAGCTGAGCTGAAATAAAATGGACTATTCACTGGTTCACTTTTGAGCCTCTCAAACCATTGCTGTCCAAGTTTGTGTGATGCTACTCAAACTTGGCTCTAGACGTTTAACTGGATAAAAAAAGGTCAAATGTGAGATATTTCTTCCTTTTGTGGAAAATTAAGGTCATCGTGATCCCAATCTGCTGGTTTTTTGGAATCTCTAACTCATGAGAAACTCATTTTGTACTCTGAACAAAGTTAAGTTCTTGACATGGAGCAAAGAAAAGCATTTCAGTTCTGAAGACGACTAAATGAAGTATGTTATTTTGAAATAACCAAGTTCTGGATGCATTTGCAGCTTTTGCATTGACTGTCAGTGTTATTGGAGGCTCAGTCCCACAAGCTGGAGAAGCCTCTTCAGGTCCCAGTAGCTTTGCCTGATCTGTTTTCCTCTGTGCAGTCCCCAGGGTATAATGTGGTGTTTACTGCTCTTTATTTATTACTAAGTGTTTGTGTCTCCCCCATAAAATAATAGGGCAGAAATATCACTCATGATGGAGGATATTTCTGACTTTGTCCCACTCACGATGTCTTTACTTTTCCTCCTTGGCTTTTCCATGCTGTTGCATCTTGCTGCATAAAATAAGTTATTGCCTTGGAAGTTCTTCTGAATTCATTTCTGCATTCAACCACTTCAGGAAAATAAGTCAGTATTTCTTCCCAAAATGAACAGAATAAGTTCAGTGCAATGCAATTGCAGACTTGTTTTTATTCAGAGAACTATGTAATGCATTTCTGTGGCACTTTTTATTTCACCACCTGTGATGACCTAGTACTATGAATTACATTTTTAGTTTTCTATTTCATGTGTTAAACATAAAAAGAAATATTTGTTCTATGTACTTTTAAATTTCAATTAATACATGATGTGTATTCAGTGTCATGGCTTTTCATCAGATCTGTTCACGTGGTGCCTGTTTTAAAGGTGCTGTTTTAGGCAAGGCTCGGGGGAACTCAGTTCTGTGTTTGAATGATAATAAGAATTGCATTGGATTTTACAGCCAAGCCTGCTGTGGGCAAAATGATCCCAAGGACTTTCTTACCCCAGAAGAGAGCATGAGGGAAGGACAGCACAGAGCTGTTTGCAGGGATTTGGGAACGTGGCTCTTGCTGCCCAACCAGCCTCCTACAGATGCTGAATCCTGTGTTTCCTACCACGGATGGATGGGATCCAGTGGAAACCTTCAGTTATGTTTGTACAGGGCAGAGGAATTTGAGGGGAAGGACCTTCACAGACCATATAATACCTGAGCATTGTTTGCCTTTCTTAGGAGGAAATGGGAGTATGAGAAGAAAAATTCCTGTGGTCTTGGAATCTTTCATCTTTGCTGGTTAATTTTGCATCGAAACTGCCAACGAAGGATTTTGCCTTAGGACTCCACAGTTCTGTTTGGATCCTTTTCAGTGCCAGTTCTTGTACAAAGGAAAAATTAAATACCTCTTCACACGTACTCAGGGGCCAGAGAGACCCGTGTTTCTGTGGGTTGTCACTGGACACAGGCTGAGAGGATGTGCTGTGCCAGTGTCCAGGTACAAAACCGAATGGACAAACTGAGGAAGGAGCTGAGGGGCTGTTTCTAAAAGTTCTTACTGAGGAAATACCCTCCTTGTGTGGCCACAGAGCTCTGGCAGATCACACAGACTGGCTCCTGTCTCGAGGCTCTCACCAAGGACACTGTGAATGATGACTGGAGCAGGTGATTCTGTGCTTTTTATACAAAAATGTTTATTTAAATTAAAGAAATAAAACTTGTAACTCAATAAACATTCTGTCCTCTGTTTTTATTTGATTGCCATAGGAGTTACACAAAGACAAGGAAAAAATACTTTAAATTTAGTAGTAAATAAGGAAGACATCACTTTTCAAAAGGTATAATGTGGGAGTTATCTGGACAATTAGTCTTTCAGTTAATAGTTAATTAGAGTATCCTTATGAAAGTTCTTAATGTTTATCACTAAATTGTCAAGTATGTTAAAAACAACTTAAGAAAATAAATTAAGCCCCCATTTTCTTCTCTTTCTCAGTTCCTATGACAGACTTTCTCTCTGCAGATACAGAACAAGTCTCAAAATTCTGAGAAGTCTCCCCATATGGAATCCTTCCGAATTTCCATTCTGAAATACTCAGGTATGGTTTGTGCATTGCTCTTCATCAAAACCCAAGTAATTGCTTAAATTTTGCCTTTTTCTCTGAAAACTTTTGGGGTGCAACAGTTGATGGAAGTTTTGTCTGGAAAATGTTATAAGCAGTTATAAGTTATAAGGTGGATACATCTAGGAAGTTAAATGACTGTAAACTTCTGGTTTTTTCCATTGCAATAGAAATTTTCTTCTAAAGGTTCACTGGTTAAGCACATCTTTTCTTTCTGAATTTCAGTATTGCTCCAGTATGTTTCCAGCTACTCAGTATTTCCTAAAGTCAACCCTTTCTGTCTTTGAATCAATGTTCAATCAGAAAGAGCTTGAATAAATCTTGTAATACTTGAAAAAGCTTTACATTTCATTTTAGTGTATTTTTCTCAGGAATCCTGTATTTTTAGCTTATTTTTATCTTTGTAAGTATAAAAAGAAAAACAAAACAAACCCCAAGGCCTCCACTTCAGCACAGTGGGAATTAGTCACATATGCAGATAATATCATTTATTATATACCTTTGTTTCTCTCTCCTCAGCTTTTCCTTTGTCTCACATTTTGTAAGTTTATCCGAGGAATTAGTTTCAAGGATCTCACTCCATTTTAAAAAGTGTTGGTTATTGGAGGTTTGGGGTTATAAAATAGAAAAACTGTAAGTTTTTTATATATAATGTAGTTTTGTGGATAAGCATCTTCATAAAAACTTCATAAAATATTCTTTACATCTCTAGGAATCCTTTAGAACAAGTAAACAGGAGTCATAATCAGCATTCTGACAGTATGTCTCATCTTAAAAGTGCTCAGCAAGGTTAATTAAATTACAATTTAAAATTAGATTCTGCATTTACCTATTTATTCCATGAATTACTGCTGACTGACCCTGGATTTCACAAAGAAACACACTTTTTTTACAGAAAATCCATAATAAACTCTTAAGAAGTGCTCTGGTTTGAGACTGAGGACCTGAGGTGTTTTGCATTGAGTTTAATTTTCTCTGTTTTTACAAAAGCTTGTTTCTTTTCATAATATGCAGCTTCATTAATAAATGTTGGATAGACTGTGCAGTTCCCTTGATATGGAATTACTTTTCCATCAAGAGTCAAAAACAGAGGATCACCGTTGTTCAGTGGCTGCCAGTCTTGATCCTTAGGGAAAGAAAATAAATAGGATATATTTACTTTCAAGTTTTTATATATTCTGTAATTCCTGAGTTTATGCTCAATAATTATAATTTCTGCAGTTTATGACAAAAGCTTTTAGAAGAATTCCTTTTAATCTGCAGCTGGTAATTTTGGATGTCTGGCCCTCATTTTCAGGCTGGTAGAGCTGAACTAGAAGGAAACTGCAGATGCTCACAATTGATTAAATATATTCTAAAAAATTTTAGAATTCAAAATGAGATTTATATTTTAAAATATAAGCTATCATATTGCCTTTTCCTTTTCAGTTTTAGGTTCATAACTTATTTCAGATTCAGTGATTCCCAAGTCAGTCCCTGAAATAGTGATGACCTTAGTGAACCATAGGGAATGTCTGCAGTATTCAATGAACCCATTGGGAATATTGGCATTTTAAATATTTATTACTAAAATACACAACAATGTAGCAGGAGCAACACAAGAATACGTAGAAAATGTCAGAAATAGAAACTATTCTAGCATTTACCTGCAGTTTAGGGTGAATAATAGCAATAATTTCATCATTCTTATTCCTGGGATAATCTACTTTCTCCATTATTTTAAAAACCTCGATTGTACACGGTGGAAATTCCTTTCCTAGAAAGAATAAATGTAATTTAATGTCAAAATGAACAACTGCCTGTTAAAAAGAACAATACATTATTTATTCTCTTGAGAATGGCTCAAACCATTGGGTTATTCCCTCAAAGTGAGTTGCAAAATGATGATCCAGTCACATGTTGTAGCATATGAAGCCCAGGCTTAAATTTGCTGCTGAAATGTGACTTTTCCCTGTATAGTTAAAAAGATCTATTTTGTAGACGAAGAAATCAGTGAAAGGCCTGTGTTTGGTAATGCTGCACAGCACAGAATGGTATCAGTGGTATTTAATCTTTACCATTCCAGCACAAGAATGGAAATTCTGACATGCAAAACTGCATTATTTTCCTTCTACTTCCAAGAAAAAAAAAACCAAAAACAAACCAAACCTCACTGATAAAATGTACTCTGAAAGAATTTTAAATACCTATTTTGTCAGGATGTATTTTAGATAGTACCCTGGTCTGACCAAATCTTACCAAATGTATTGACTTTCATTTTAGAGAGCAATTCCCTCCCCATCCCTTTGTACCTGTTTAAGGGTGAAAATGTTGTAGCCCAACCTATTTTAAATATTCTCTTAAAACAGCCCACTGACATGACATGAGAGGTTGTAATCTCTCATTACCTTCATTAAAAAGCTGCACAAAATCAAGGCCATGTTTGACAATCTTCCTCATTTTGTCCAAAACATCAGCTCTAGCAACACCTTGTGGCTGGGGCCCCACCTCGACTCCTGTGTGCAGATGAGGGAGATTATTAATGTTGCAATAACATAACACAGGCTTACACTGCACAGCAAAAATAGGCGTCTGATGGGTCAATGTTTGATGTTTTTAAGAAGAATTGTAAAGCACAGTTCTGTGAGATTTAAGGCAACAGATAATTTAGCTCACCAATCTGGGTCAGTTAAAGAATTGTATGTACGTTTTTGAGTGTGCTATGAGGGTAAGAGAAAGAGCCAATATGTATTTGTTTCTCTTATTCTTTTCCTCATGCTGTCTATCCATGCTGCATTTTAGAGAATTCATTGTTTAATAGGAAAAGCAAAGTAATGATTATTTTTTGGTTATGGTTATGATTCTGTAAATGAAAAAATTAACCAATTCCATGCAGAACATCGGTTCCCCCTTCCTTTATCACATCATCTCTTCCTGACTAACAAACAGTGTTTCAGCCTTATTTAGAGGACATAAACATTGATTTTCTGGTTCTGTTACTTCCTCCTTCTCCTCATATATTATAAATATTTTCTGCAAAAAGTGAGTTAATTGAGTTTAAGAATTTCCATCTGGCTCCTGTATTTTGCAAGCCAGAACTCTGATTGTGTAAATGAGAACTCTTCAGAAGAATGAATAACCATATAAATTCAATTCAATAAGCATCTTGTCAAACAAACAACTACTGGTGATCATAACACAGTGAAACGAGCACATCTGGAAACAGCCATGTTTTAAATCATTTATGGTGGCTTAAAATAGTCTTTGGTTTTCATATTTACCGACAGGATGCTTTGCTACAGATCGAGTTGTTGCATATTTCAGGCTGGGATGTTCGATGAGCAGAGCAGGGCAGAGTTCTGGAGCCAAAGCCTTCTGTGGAGACGGTTTAAAGATGTCTTTGTTATGCAAATGGTTTAAAATGTTGTGCCACAAAAGATTACTGATGCAGAAGTGATTTACACAATGTCTTCAATATGTTGCCTTTATTTCAAGGCCCTCAAGGAAGTAGGACATCTTTAGAAAATGCACAAAGCTGTGTTTGTTGGTCTCAGTTCCATTAACTGGGGCCAGGCAGCTCCACTGAACCACAACTGAGCACAGTTCTAGTCTGAGACTGCCAGCAGAGAAAAATCTCCTCAGCAGGGTTCCAAAACTTAGAACTGAAATACTCTAAAGCAGATTTCAACTTTGTTTTGGTTTTATTTTGTTTTTAAATGTTAGATTCTGTTATGAGGACACAGACTGTGAATTAAGCCTTATTTCAATCTTCTTTTTTGCTGTTTTTGCTGGATTAGACATCTTTCTTGATGACTGCCCACCATTGCCCTTCATGTAATTTTAGTTTTCTGTAGCTCCAAATATCTTAGAAAGATTTACAGGGAATACATATCATAAGAAAAAATTAAAATGTTAAAATAGACCTTGTTTCTAAGGAAAAATATTAAAATTCCACACCTTTGGCCCAACCTGGATTCCATCAGTCACTGTCACTAGAATTCAACCAGCACTTTTGCAAACCTGACTCTATTAAAATTTATCAGCTTCAGGAACAGCAGAATCAAACAGATTCTAAAGCCATATCTCTATTCCTATAAATACTGATGAAGGGAACATTTCTCATTACCCAGTTCCATTATTTTTTACATGTCTTTATTTAATGAAATTAATGTTTAACTATTTAGCATGTGTGACCCAAATTTATCCAAGTTCCTGACAGATCAGTGTGAAAGCAGATTAAATTACATTAATTTTCTTAGTTGTTATTCTAAGCATTCCTTTTTGCCCATCAGTCTTACTAATGCTCATTTTAATACATGAAGATTATTATGATGATTTAAAATCTGAATTACCTGATATTATAATCAAATTATTAATTATCTCTGATTAAAAAAAAAACATCCTATGAGTAATTAAATACTTTAAACAGTTTTGCAGAATAAAAAATAGTATATTTAAAGAAACTACAAAATAATATATAGTAATACAACATTACAACTAATAATCTATTTTAATAGTTCATTTAAATTAGTTTTACCTTGATATAATGAACCATTTGAATTGTAAAGTCATCCCTGGAGTTTTCAAGAATAAGGGTACCACCCATGTTAGAAGTGGTGTTGTGAAGGTCAAAAATAAGGTCATAGGCATCATCACTACCTTTTGGACCAAATATATGATTGATTTCCTGAGCCCTTCTCACTTCATATGGAATATCTTCCACCACTGGCCTGCTGTTAATATCAGCACAAAGAAATTAGTGAGCTCATTCCATGGCTTTACAGTCAACAAAACATGTATAGCCTTTTCTTTTGACTTTAATTCCATAATGGACTGGAGTTGAAATCACCTATTTAATTACCAAAGTCTTAAAACTGGCTGAATTTGTGCTTGAAAAAAGCAAGTGGGGTTGTTCCCCAGGTGTTACAGTTATGTGTCTTGTGCAGAAGGGTGTTAGAATCATTCAGTCTGATTTTAGCTGGAGACAATTTACTTCTCTCATTTCTTTACATCCCAAAATTTCCCTCATGCATAAAACCAACTAAAAATTTATCAACATCTTGAAGCACTTCCAAGATTGGATCCACCTCCTACTGATGACAATACTCAGACATCAGTCCATGATGTTTTGCCTTGGACATCACTCTCAAGGTCTTTTGTAACTTGTTTTATTTCTTGTCTTCTCATATTCCATTGCTTTCAGCCCTCCTGAGTCTCAAAGCTCACAGAATATTTTGCTGCCTCAAATCTGTTCCTCCTAAGTTTTAACACTTGTGATTTCAGGTGACTCAGCCTGTATTATGCTTTAAAAAAAAATGGTCTCAGCCTAAGGAAATGTCTGGGATCTGCTTCCAGTGTGTGTGAGGGCTCTGTAGGACACAGGACACATCTATCCTGTGTAAGAACAGCGTATAAAGCCTCTGTGGCCTCAGACCTGGTCCCTGTGGACAGTAAATCTGGTTTGGATGACAGGCTTGGGACACCACCCAAGTACGATCCAGACACACCTACAGTGTTTTGCACTAAATTCAATTTTCTTTCTCAATACAGCTCGAGCTTTGTAATATTTGAATTTTGTAAGAAATACCGGTATTATGTTGCACAAAGGAAGTTTTTTGTGAAATGCTAACAAAACACCTTACTAATTGCATGGGTATTTAAGCATCACAGGAGGTTGCTGAGGAAAATTATGGGATCACCACTGCTGGATCATTAGAAATGGCAAGACATAATCTGCTAGGAATATCTATATGCAGTTGATCCACTGGTGTGATGGAGGTGGATTAGATTTTTTTTATGTGAGCCTCTAAAGCTCCTTTTTCTATTTCTGACTCTATGTATCACATAATCTACCTTTGTATCCTTTAGTTCTGTCTTTGGAATTTGAGGTTTCTTCACATAAGACTGTTAAATTTATGCTTCTTATTGAAGCCAATGGGACTTACACCATTACTTGGAGTAGTATAAGGGTTTCACTCTCCTTTTTCTTATTTTGTAAAATCTTAATTTATAATCTTGAAGGTTCTACACTGAAAGGGATCACAGGGAGCTACTCCAAACGGTCAGTAGTGCTTTAACAGGACCAGGCAACTTCATAGGATTTACTGAGGAGTTTTATTTAAAAAATGAAGACAACCTGCAGGTGTCTTAATCTGCTGTTTTTTCAAGTGTTTTATGTTCAAAGCAGCTGAAAGCAAACAAAACCACTTTTGGTTTTTGTATGTTTTTCCTAAGTAAACAATTAAAAGAATGACCTCAACGCTTATGTGTTAACATCTGCTTATCTTAGATATAATAATCAACAAAAAAATTCTAAGATGAAAAGGCAGCTGAAAAGGTGTGCAGGGTAAGAGTAACTATGTTTGCAAAATATATGCAATATGTATTTCCTTCAGTGGTATTCACCTTTACCATTAAAAGTGTTCTGAAACAGAATTACCTGGTTAGCATGCAACTATACCAAGAATAAGAATGTTTATGCAGCAAAGTACACCTCTGGAATAGGTATCTCAAGAGCACAGAAACTTCAAATCCTATTCAAAATGTAAAATGAGTTACTATTTTACAGTAATTACGGGTTGCATTTCTTCTAAAATAATGAGTCAGTTAAATTATTGAGATTTTTTGGCTATCCTTTTGCCATAGATTATTTCTAATTTAGCTGATTTCAAGTTTTCATCTTTTACTGTACATAAGTGGAATTAAATACATTTCCCTGCTTTGTGTGCTATTCTTTCAGATACTCAGATGTCAACACTTAAATTGCTTTTATCTGCCATTTCCTGCAAGTGTAATTGTATTCAGGAGAGCTCCAAAGCTAAATTGCACAAGACGTGAGAAATAATGACTCTGCAACCCAGAACTGTGATACTCCAATTCACACAAATACAGCTGATCTAATACTGTTTTAAAATGCTGTGTTTAAGGTAACGTGTTGGCTCGAGAATCATTCTGCCAGCAGTAGGAATGAATCTGTTAACACTCCTGCAGTTCATTCTTTTTTGGGTTAAAGGTCAGGGATTTCAGTTATGTGACCGCACAGTTAAAACAGCAGTGGAACTCGTGTTAACGTTTTAATCTGGAAAGGATTTTTAAAAACTGCAGTTTTAAAAGTAAAACAACAGAAAGTCCAACTGTTCTTACCCAAGGCTGTCAGGGTTGAAAACCCGGTTGAGATCACAGTCAATGTATCTCGTGCACTTCTCCACAGCTCTGGGGTTGGTGAGAAATGGTTTCACTTCCATTCCAGGTCTTTGGATCTCAGCTCCGTTCTCTTGCCAGTGCCTGACCAGTAACACCCCTGATAACTCATTGCCATGAGTTCCCCCGAAGATACCGACCCGTCTCACCGGAGGTTCAGCAAGAGCAGAGGAGGAGGAGGAGGAAGAGGAAGTCATGCTTTTCAGCAGCTCTGACAATTGCTGAAGGCAAACCAGAAAATAATGGTAAAGTAAAACGTTTGCCTCCAAAAAGAAAAAAAAAAAATTTCTTTTCAGTAGGAGACTCTTTAAGCCTGTTTAGGTCAGATGGGAGAGAAAGTGAATGAACATTTCTCTAAGAGTTCTCGACTCCCGTTTTGAGGTGGGAGTTGCCAACCTGACCCTCCTCCCTCCCAAGGAGCCTCCCCTCTGGTTTCCGTATTTAGTAACGTCTCCAAGGCTGCTCATGGTACTGTTACACAGTTCAAAAGTTAACTTCTCCAGGAAACCTCTAATAATATATGCTGTGTAGGTAAATCCTGTGCTAATGACAGTATAAAAGACTTTTTAAATGTAAACTTTAATAATGCACTTATATATCTGACATTTTTGCACTGCAAACTACGCGTAACAAGTATTCTCGTGTACGTTTGGTTGCCTAAATATTATGCTATACAAGGACAGAATAATTTAAAGGGAGCAAAACCAGTAGAATAAGAACCATATCTTGGCTCTAGTCCTGCACAAAATGCTGAAACATCAAGTATTTTAATCTAAAAAACCAAGAACAGCTGAGTTCCTCAAAGCACGTTGGGGCTCGTACGACCTTTTTCGTTTTAGAAATCTGAAGAACAGTGATTAGAAGGAACAGGAGCTGAAATTACAGTGCAATTTATCCATGACTGACTTACCAAGCGTTCCTGGCTCCAGTTCTATCTCGGGATCTGCTAACACAGACCTCTAACACACTGAAACAACTTTGCCAGGGACAACCCTCTAACTTCTGCAGTCTCTTACTAAAAAGGAAACAGATCTAGACCACGATGGGACAATAGTTGTGTTCTTCCCCCAAAAAAAACTTAGTCAGCAACTTTTCTTCCATTTCCAAAAGCTTTTGAAAAGGCTTCTGAAACTTAAGCCAAAGAGCAGCTGTAACTTCCATCCTGAGGATCAAAGCATTTAGAATAAACAGTCTTAATAACAGAAAAATAAGTTTTACTGCTGTCAGTGACAGAAGTATTTGCAATTAGTATCTAACACGCAATATAAACATAAAAAAATGTTATACTGCAAGGGAATAAAGAATGTTTATTGAACAATTCCTTTTTATTAAGATTACACTCCAGTGACAGAGAGTGTTTGGCTAGTGCCTGGGAGAGGCTTTATAACCCAGGCTGACAGAATGTAGGTCTAGGAAAAGCTAAACAGGATTTATCTAGACAAGTTCTGCCAGGAATATATTTCCTACAAAAGTTCCTCTCTCTGTTTCAGTTTATGCATTCAGATTTGCTGAACCTTACAGCAAGTTAATACAGAGAGACTGTTTACTTAAACACTCAACTGTATTACTCCTGTACTTAGAAGCTGTCAGATATTTAATCAGAGTAAGTAATTTATTAAACAAAGTAGTAAAGTTGTATTTTACAGCTCTGGACAGTCTGTGCTGTCCTTTGACCCGTCTCTTCAGTGGTGGTGCCAAAATGACCATTGACACACTGCCCAAAAACACGATTCGTGATCTGTATCTGGGTTTGCTGCATTTAAACACGGCGTCAGTTTGAGGAATAAATGGCAAAATGCAAATGTGCAGGGCTAGAACATATAGTTTGTCTTTTATTGCCGCTAGCACTGTAATGGTTATAGTTCCTTTCAAAAAGCTGAATGAAACACAGAGATCGTCTGTGCGCTTACCTCATTTAACATGCAAGAAGTTTGTCTCCTGAGAGCAGTGTTCTTAGGACAGTGACAGTGAATTTCCAAACATGAGTTTAGGAACCAAAGCCCTGGAGGTTTCTTTTATCCCCTTAGAGCACTTACGGTCCAAACGCTTTAACTCCTGGTCTCCCAGGACAGGCACCTGCCAATTTGGGGATAAATGTAAACACTTGGAACGTTTTAACTCTTCAGAAATAAACACTGGGACTAATCCCTTGTTCCCGTGCTTTGCCAATGTTTGCACTCTGAAAAATTATGTAGGATATTTAGTTTATTAAGAATTCAGATTGGCTTGATGTGCTACATACAGATGTGTGGTAGTGCATCTGAGAGCTTGGAGTGCAAGCCACAAGCTGAAAAACGTATGTAATAATAACATGTAAATGAAACTAAGCCTAGCTTTAAGGTCATGAAGGTACGTGTTTGTGTGTATATATATAGTGTATAGAACTGCAATGTGGCTCTCCAGAGCCTTCCAAGGCTGAAGAAAAAGCATTACAACACAGGCTCCAAGCACGCCAAGCACTAAGGTTTTACACAGTTGAAACCAGCCACGTGTAAAAGCCAGAACAGTGGTTGAAGAGGAAAACAACGTGAAACTGTGGATAATTTTATTTACATCCACGTCTGTGTTCACACATTTGTGGGGATTCAGCTCCTGCCCCTGTTCTCTTAGGCTGACGCTGGACACCACGTGGGCCAGTTTACAGGTGGTAATTAAGCCCCACCGAGGACTGATTTAGTGATTTAATGGTTCCTGGGAACCTCGCTCCTCGCCCCAGCCCGGGCCGGGGGGTTCCCTCAGCGGGGCTCCCGCAGCGCCTTCCCGCCATTTTCGCACCGCCTGAGCGCGGCCGAGTGTCCGTTATTTTTGGCGGGCTTCGCCTCAGGGCTGACCCTCACCCCTGTCCCTCATCCTTGTCCCTCAGGGCTGACCCTCAGCCCACTCCCTCAGGGCTGACCCTCACCCCTGTCCCTCAGCCCACTCCCTCAGGGCTGACCTTCACCCCTGTCCCTCAGCCCACTCCCTCAGGGCTGACCCTCACCCCTGTCCCTCCGCCCGGTCCCTCAGGGCTGACCCTCACTCCACACCCTCAGGCTCGCCCAACGCCGTCAGAACCCTCAGCCCGCGGCCGGCGCTGCCCCTCCGTGTGAGGCACTGCCGAGGGTCGCCCTGCTCTGCCTGAGCTTACTGTTTTTCTACAGCTTTTTCTCTGGGTTTTAGTTGCTTATCTTCAGAAGAGGCCAGAAAACAACACGCTCTAAGCTCCTATGCGGTGCAAAAGCTCTCTATAAACTGAAATGTAAAACTTAATGGGGTTTTATTTTACAAGTGTTTTACTGGGGGCCATTAGGTTTCATAGTGCTAGGAATATGCTTTAAATTGTATAACAACAATGGACTAGAGGCTGCTTTAATGTCATCGCACGTGTAATTGATGTATCTCACAGAAGTAAAGACTAAATTGATCTATTAGTCAGCTGTGGTAGAAGCTGCGCTTCATTCTTATTAACATCTTTAATAGCTGTGTATGGTTAACTGTCAGATCAAAATAAATGTAGAGGGAATGTCTTGTATTATTTATACATCTAAATATGCAGTATTATTCATATGCCACTGAAGACAATATGCACCAGTAGCTAAATCTGATAAAATAGCAAGTAAAGCTGCATACAGTCTCTGTAGTATCCTCAATGTGTACAGTAATACACAAAGATTACAAATAGATTAATCAAAAAACAAATATGGCAAACTACCTATACCTAACATGGTAATATATATTTCTTCTGTTTGTAATATTTGGGTTATAGTAATGTCTTTTTCATTTGTGATGTATTTTATGTATGAGGGAATTGGCTAAAGGCTTTAGATCTGTACCATGAAGTACAGAAAATAAGTTTATTTTTGAACCATAATGCTATTTTTCACATAATAATTAAACTGGTTTTGTCTTCAAAGCTTTGTACCTTGCCATCACCTTTGGCTGCAATTTATAAATACGCATTTTTTTATTAGTGTTTCATTTTCAGGAATTTTAAAACAAAAATACTTGTATTTGGATATATGTGTACTTTTAAATTCAGGAGCGAATTCAATATTTTTTCAGCACTTAAAAAAAGTAGAGAATGCAACTTTTACTTAAAAAATGTAATCATTTGGGCCTTTAATCTGCAAAAACCAGTTGCATGTTATGTAGGTACCTGTGGATCTTCTAAATGCAGTACAGCTGCTTGTATGTTTTAGGCTTGTGTCTGAAGTGATGCCAGTCACTGGGTCTGCAGAGTTCGCAGAAACTGCCAAAATCACATAAAATTTGGATGTGTTTACGGCATTAATTAGTTTACTTTGCTTATCTAACTTCCATACAGCGAATCTGGAGTAATCAATACATCGTTGCCTGTTAAGACTCAGCGAAGAAATGAAAAGGAGTTTTGGTGACACCTCAACTCGCAGCACAGCAGGTACTGGCCCTTGTTTTGTGCTTTACCATTCACACCTCATTATCCTTTTATATATAAATATATATTTTTATATATATATACACACACATAACTATACATGCAGTGTGCACACAGGATGTTCAGAATTCAGCCCTAGATCCCCATTTCCTGAGTGGACTTCAACGGTTACCTGTTTATTGCAGCCCAGGGCAAGATTTTGGCTGGATTCAAGGAACTGGCCACTCAGGGAAAGGTTTCCTTCACAAGACAGAGGGCTGGGAATGTGAGTTCTGCAAGGGAATGGTCTGTTATGTGTTTATGAAATGTAATTCCTATGGGTGATGTAAAATAACTGGTAAGTCATTTTATTTATTTATTTTAAGTGCTTTGCTATTAATATGGTGTTATTACTTGAATTTTAATTTTAGGTTGTCTGCCTGTACCACTGTTCAATCAGAAAAAAAGAACTAGACAGCCCCTCACTTCAAATCCAATTAAAAATGAGCCAGGTGCCGGTTCTGGGACTCGTACATATGACTTCTCTCCCACATCATTTGGTAAATAATATATATTTTATTTTTGTAGAGGCTCTAAATCAAATAAATCTTAACTTCCTGATTGTATTCTGAGTAATCAGACATTGTCTTTATCAAGAACTTTATGCGCCCTTTATATCTATTTCTGAAAAGTTCATTATGTAAAAATTGTCCTCCAGGAAACTTCTTTCTCCTCCATACAATTGAGCTTTTTATACTTTGTGCCTAGAGGGAGTTTGACTCTTTGTGTGTTGGAGAATGAAGTAGCACTGGCATTTAAATCGAGTCTCTTGAAACCGACCTTTTGTTTTCAGTAGATTTCAATCAACATTCAAGTCCTGTGTTACAAGAAGAAACATTTATAAGATGTCTTTCTTGTAGTCCAGAAAGGAACTTCTGTTCTTCAGTTTGGGCTTGGAAAGAACAGTGTAGAATTCTGCCTTTAGTGCTTTCATTATGGTCTACTTGTAATAAAGTTAAAAAGTTTCCTTATAATACAGTAAAAAAGTCTCTGTTGCTAACAAGTCTAATGTTTGTAAATGAACCGTTGTCTAGAGAAGCAACCTACTTGTTAGAAGTTGCCTTATAATTACAAATATCAAAGGATCCCATTCCCTTTTTTTTTTTTCCCACCTTCTCCTTCCTGTGTGAGCCTGTTTGTGGGACATTAAGCAGATACAGAGTAGGAGCCCTACATAATAAACCTATTACTTTTCAATCTTCTCTGTTTGTACCCATATTCAATCCTTTGCCTTTTGAAAATTAGGCTGGGGAACTGCAAACCCAGAAGTGGCTGAACTGCAGAAAGCAGCAAACAGTGGGTATGTAAAAGCAGGTTATTTGTTGCTTTTTGATTTTTATTTGGATACTAATTGTTTCACAAACTATGATCCATGTGTCTGTCTTGCAATAAAGCTGCTACTATGTCACTGATACTTTAAACTTATATTTGAAAGCCAAACAGGACATCAGATGGCTCCTTCCCTCATGAAACCACCAAATGCATCAAAGTTTAATTTAGCAAATGCTGGAAAAAACTTGGCTGCCTGCAGGTTGGTGGAGTCTTTAATGTCTATTATCCTTCCTTTTTGTTCTCATGTGAAAATACATCTTACATTTTCCCATATTCCTGTAGCATTCAGAGAGACCCTTTTAATTCTCAGATCATCACTGTAGTCCTAAATAATTACATTGTGGTTATGAGCCAAACCCCACTGAAATGACATATCTTTCCAGTGTACTTAATGAGGCCTATTAATTAGACCTAATATCAGGCCTATAATTCAGTCTTACCGTAAAAGTTGATTGAATTTTGCTGGTAATTTTTTGAGATTTGCCTTTACTTGAAGTTTGGCCCACTTCCAACCCAAATTTATCAATAGACTCAAATAAGATTCTATCAGTTTATTTTATATAAAAACTTTTAATTAAGACTGAACATAACTGTGCTTTTACAGATTCAGGAAAAGCTGACAGACTCTGATGCCTGGAGCTGGCAGGAAAACTTCCAGCAATGTTACAACTGTCCATTTGTTCCCTTCCTCCTGTTCCTTTCCAAGGGCAAAAAGAGAGTGAATGTTTCAAACGAGACAAAATGGAACAGGAGGAATTTCTGAGCTGCCTTTATTAAAGAACTGTGTTAGAAATAATAATGTCAGCACTAGAGTTTGTTGTAAAATGATTTCCTCAGTGATGGTGGTAGAAGAATTTGGAAACATCACTCTCAGAAGAAACTTTGTTTATTTTACTTTAGACTCATGGAAAAAAATGTGACTCTTGGATCAGGAAAGATCCCTTGTACAGGGCAGGATAATAATTGAGCGAAGTTTTAAGGCCTGTTGAAGTCAGCTGGATTTATGCACAGGTGTGATCCCTGCCCTGCATGTGGATTTATTTCAGTGTATACTCAAGTGCTATGAGTCTGGATGTTTTTAAAGCTAAAACAACAATACAAAGATTACTTTTATATACCTTAATTACGTATCTGAGTATTCAGAACAGATACTGTGATACTGAACTGTGTCTGATGTTGCATTGCAGGAACAGAAATGAGTATACTCTGAGTAACACAGCAGATTCAAGGTCTGATGGTGGAATTACTCGAAAGTTTGGGAACCTTTCAAATAATTGGAAAACTGTCCAGCAGCAAAAACCCCCTGGTAACCGTAATTCATCTCAGCTCCTCAAAACAGAAACCAGCCAGACAAACACAGCTAAAGGACAGTGGCCAGTGAAACCTAACCCTGCACCAAGAAGTCTGCAGGGTCATAGTCCAGCATATAGATTTAACTACAATATTCAGCAAAATAAAATGAATGAAAACCAAATTGATTTTGTCCCAGAAGAAAAAAGTCAGGTAAAACTTATGGGGAGAGTTAATAGGAATACACAATGAAGAAAGCAGTAAAAAAAAAAAAAAGAAAACTGATGAAAGATGAAGCTTTTGTCAGCCCAAGCTGTCTTAGTAAACACTTAAGTTTCTGAAAATTTAGAATTGAGATTTTCATACTATAATAACTACAAATCCTCAACATTGTTATAAACTTGCAGGGAGTTGTTTGTATATTCTGAACAAATACTCTAATGTAAATATTGGCTATTTAGCATAATATATAAATGTCTATGTGCCTTTCAAAATTATGAGTGTATATGTCTAACTTGAGCTTTTGTCCTCCTCTGAAAGGAAGTTCCATCATCTCAAATAAAAATTAGAGACAAAAGGAATTCTTTGCGAATCCTGTCTGCAGTCATTGAAAGTCTGAGGCACTGGAGTCAATATTCTTACAAAACTGCACTGTTATTTGAAGTCTTAGGTAAGCACAGTTGATTGGGCTATAACTGATGATAATGGTAGGGCACCAGTGAGAGAATTTTATTCACTTTTGGCACAAGAGCTGAAATACTTAAACCCACAAAATGTTGCTGTGAGCACCATCTAATTTTCCTTCTAGGAGATCCATTCAGCTATCAAAGGTGACTGAAATAGGTACAAAATTAATAATTCAGTCATCTTCCAACATTTAAACTTCTTCCATGCTGTTTATTCTCTTTCCTTGTTTTTAAAATGTGTTACAATCAATTTTCCTATTTTATAGGAACCTTCTGTAGAGAGGTATGGTTTTACAATAATTCTTAATACAATTAATGTAGGAACAGATTCAAGTCTGGGATGCTTCTAAATATAGGTACAGACTTTTAGTGCATTACACTTTGCATTTAATTGCTGTTGTCTGAGAAATGAACATGACAAAAGGCTGAAATGACTAAACTTTACAACAAGGTGAATAAGAATATACAATCTGTTGGCATCTCAGCTATTATTTTGACAAGATTGCAGATATTTAAAGTTGATTTGCACGTGTTCCCACAGAAAGCTGATGCTGACTTGATATATCTCAGTGGTTTTGTGTAGTAAATGATGTTTGGTGTCTTGGGGTATCATTCTTAGTACTGCTCTTTGTTTACACCATGACTAATTTCTGTGAATGGCACAGGCACACTGGATTCTGCAGTCACACCTGGAGCTTATGGGGCAAAGAACTTTCTCCTGAGAGATGGAAAGGAGACCCTGCCTTGTGTGTTTTATGAAATTGTGAGTATTCTGTGTCTGTACATAACACAGGCTCCAATCCCTTTTATGAAGTTAATAATGTGTTGTTCTGATAAAGCAGAAATATTCTGTGTAAAAGGCAGGCTGGATGCTTACACCATATTGATCCCAAACTAGAGCAATAATCCTGTCACTACTTAGGCATCCTTAGACTTCTGTTTCAGAAAAAAAGGTGGGACTTTCAGTTTAGCTTTTAGGTAGTTGATGATAACAAAAAAGCTGATGTAAATTCCTTCTGTTTGATGTTCTTCAGAATCCAGCCATGCAGAAAGCTTCTGTGGTAGGTGACATAATTGTTTTATTTGTTTATTATGCTTTGATGAAGGACCGTGAGCTTCCAAGACTAATTAGAGGCCGAGTGCACAGGTGCATGGGAAACTATGATGCAAAAAGGAACATTTTCAAGTGCGTCTCTGTAAGACCAGCAACTGCTCCAGAACAGAACACTTTCCAAGACTTTGTGAAAATTGCAGATGCTGAGATGACAGCATATGTAAAAACAATGAATGAAATGTAGAAGTTGAAGTGGTTTCTCTAGTTTTCACTGATCATTACCCAGAAAGGCTGGACATGCTAAAACATTTCCCAAAACTAACAGGGAGGATCTGGTTAAATAATTGGAAATATCACTGTGCTGTGTTAGCCAACAAATGTTAGTAACAATGTTTTGTTTTCACTATTACTTTCTTTAGCTCACCCAGTTAAATATCCAATAACAGGGTTTTGTTACATACTTCATTAGACTTTACTGAAGAAATTCTGAATTAAAATGCTAAATTTTGCAGTAGGGCAACTGTCTTAGAATTCAGATTTCCATTGCTTTTCATTATCTTCAATTTTGAGAAATTCCTTCAATACCTGTTTCAAAACGTTGACTGTATAATTCTCTTGAGGAGTATTTGGTCATGGCTTAATAGGTAACAAACATCACAAAGTTCTCTGGGTAGAAAGTAAAAAGACAGTCTTTATTCCTCTTCAGTTCCAAATAACAGGTGCCCTTTCCTTTGCTGGATGACAAGAACATGTGTAAAAGCTTTGCTAGAAATGAACATAATAGGTACTACATAAAGATTCCACAGGATGCAGCTGTATCTGCCAGGTATTCCTTGGGTTCCCATTTATATGCTATTTGATTCTTTTTCTTTTTTTTTTAAACAAATAATCAGTATAACACCTGTATAAAATAGCAACAGACCCTGAAGCTGTAGGAAGATTCTTCAAGGACACAGAGGAAGTTGAAAAGAAAGAATTATTTGAAGGCAGAACTTCCTCGCCTTTGCCATATAAACACCTTTCATGAGGGATGGACCACGTACATGTTTATGTGCCTTTTGCCTTCAGACACTGACTTTCACAGGTTATTCCTGCTGTTTCTATTTCCTTTTCCCCTACTTCAAAAGCTTTGTAGCAGATCTGTTGGGAGTTGTAAAACAAAAGACTTGTCAAGAAAATAGCAAACAGGATGGGGTTTTTTTATTATTTTATTATACAGTGTTGGCAATTGGAAATTTCACATTTAAAATAATTGAAATATTGTATCCAACAAGTCAAATACAGAAAACAGTTAATATTCTAAAAAGGAGCCAGCTAGTCAACGCAGAAACACATTAATGGAAAATACAGCTTTTAGTTACACTTAAAAAATTATATATTTAGAATAAAACTTGAACCTGGTCCAGTAAATTGTTTGACTTGCAACAGGAAAACGCTTTTACACAGTTTAACGCGCAGACAGTCTTTGTTTAAAAAAGTGATCTGTCAGTGTCAGCACATGTATTGTCAGCAACAGCCCCCTCACGTTCCAGTTGAGATCTAAGGTATGTGCTTTGCTAACTGTTGTAAGAATCACTTGCACTATCACCTCCACCCTCTGTGCTAAGCTGGTTCTGAGCATGGATGTGTCAAGGAGAGCTTTGTCTATCCATTGTGGTGGTCACATACATGTCTCTGATTCCCTTTATGTCTTATAAAATGTTAAAGTAAGTTGCACATGGAAGCATTAGCTTAACTCATAACAGGTGCAGAATATTACAGGATGCAGAGGCTGATGACGTTCACAACAGAAGCTGAGGTTTAAGAAGTAAAGGATTTGGTACAGCAGTGTTGTGAATGGTAAGACTCTGCCATAACAGTATTTTAAAATTACAGAGGAAGCTTGAACTCTGGGACCAGGCCTGTTATCAACACCACCCCAGAGCTGTAGTCCCACTGATTCCAGTTGAATGATTGATGCTTCCAGTTCTGCACATTGAAAGTTACATTAATGAGTAATGGCAGGAATAGGTCGTTTGTGTCTACTGGGTATGTTATGGCTGTTAATAAAAATCTAAAATGATTTTTACTTTCAGTAAGTGTTTAGATCTTTGCAAAAAAAAAAAAGTTCCTACTTTACACTAACAAATCACTTTTTCTAGTGAAACATTAAGTGAACAGTTGTAAACATTACACAAAACAGAAAAAACCCTACACAATACAGTTTATACACACTACTCAACATTTTTCAGTTGTTGGGTGTTTTGTTTTTTTTTTAACCATATTGATCCTGTCTTGTATAATGGTTCTAGTGTAAAGGCACAGGTTGGTTAGGAAAGAAAAGCCTGCATCTCTGTCTCTCTACTTCATGGTGATTATTTTCTTTTTGCATGTTGTTTGTTATTCCTCACTTTTCTGACTCTTGTATGAAAATTATCCGTTTCAGCCATTCATTAAAAAAAGTGTAAGACATTACTGAAAAGCACAGTACTGTACAGAAGTGACTGAAATTTATTCTTCTTACTTTAGGGCATTCCTTCAACCTATTTTGTTAAATATTTAGAAGGTTTAATTTCCTAGTCCCTGTGAGCAGAAATGCATAGTATGTGCTCTCTCTTTCTCGGTGTACTTCATTCTACGTTGGAATCTGTATTTTCAAAGATTAGTAATGGAACTTGATAAATTTGTGTGCAGAATTTGCTCTTAGAGTGCCTGGAAATGTAACAACAGGACAATTCTTTTGGAAAACAGCACAACTTTCCACTGAAGTTTAGCAGGGTGAGGAATGTAAACAAGACTGCAGAAGTCTTTGATGTATATTAAGATAACACAGTGATTGTTCCATCTGTTTGCATTTTCTTGTACATCCTCAACACGTCTCTGTCTGTCCCTTCACGTACACCTTCCGTTACAAACAATAAAAATTCAGGAATCAGTTGGACTCAGTTAAGTGAAGAACAATAAATTTGATCACCTGGTTTGTGCCAAAACACAAAACTGAGAAGTACATCTCTGAATTAAATATAATCTATGTGATTTTTCTTTTTTAATAAATAATAGAAAATAAAAGATGAGAATAGAATTAGAATTCTATTTTTATTTAAAAGGAAAAACACAACAGGTGGGTGAGATTAGAACCCAATGTTTCTTTTGCTTAAGGCAATCAAGTGCACTTATTTCAATGCTTGATAGTAATGAATTCAGTGCTATTGTGGAAATCAGACCTCACAAAATTCCCATACAGACTAATGAAATATGGCCTTTTGCTAGTTCTGACACAGCATCAGATTCTTATTAGTTGAGTTCAATAGCATTTCACTTCACTTTTGTCTTTTTACAGCAATGGACTCTTAATTGTAATGGAAATACTAGAATCTAGTTCATTCTGGCTTGTATTATCACTACATGTAAGGGCCATCGGGCACAGACAGTTTTGTAAACAGAGATTTTTGTTTTCAGCCTTAAAAGACAAACAGTACACCCCAAAATCTAAAGTCGTAATAGTTCAATGAATTTTGTAAAATTCCACTTAAAATTATAATTTAAGAAACACCAAAACCGAATTCTTAGCATTTTTTACCCCTGTTGTTAAAACTATTAAATCATCATGAAGCCTTTGGAAGTAGATCTCTCAGAAAAAAAAAAAAATCTAAATTTTATGCAAGACTTCATGCAGAGGACTCTAAATCTTGGCAATTAGAACAATAGTAAAAAGTGTGTGCCCACAACTTACAATACATATATAGACTAAAAAGAAACTTTTTTCTTGTATACAATTCTTTTTAGCTATCAAGCTTAATTTTAGGCCGTGGCTACTAGCAGGTGCTTTTTTTCACTAATCAAAATAATTGTAACAAAATATCATAATTGATTTTAAAGTTACTGGGTTCATAAAAGTTCTGACGTTTAATAATACATCAAAAGTGAATTGAAGCTTTTAAGACTTACGATTTTGAGACACAAAAGAAACTGGGAGGTAGACAGATGTTTTGAGGATAAACTGATTATTTTTTTTTTTGTCTAAGGCATTATGCCACTATTTGTTTAGAGCAGTGTAAAGGCTGCTGATTAATCTTATTTCAATTCCAGAGTGTTCTCTGCTCATACTTACGGAAGACTATCAATGCACTTTTGGTCTTTGTGAATCTGACCTTCTCTTCCCCATCTCCTTTCCTCTCTTTAGCAACACAGCTAACTGGAAGTGCTATCATAATTTCTGCCCATTACCTGTAGACAGGAATGTTCTGTTCTTAAAACAGTAATAAAATACTATAAAATAGTAGGTATTGGAGTTGGAGATATGTGCTCTTTTGGTGCATATTTTGCAAAGAATGGTAAAAAGACAGACAGCATGACCCCAACAATTGCCAGCATGTACCCCCACCCAATCTGGCAGTCTCCTGCATAGTAGATGTCTGAGTTCTCACAGAATCTCTTCACAGTAGCAGAGTTGAAACCAAAAGGGTAAACCAAAAGCCCAGAAGCCATAATGAACACTAGAGAGGAGAAAGAAAACACACCAATTATTATCAAATGTTAATTCCATTGGACAAAAAAAAAATCCTTATCTTAGAAAGGCAAATATATATTAAAATCAATGGGAAAAGTCATAGCTTAAAACACCCCTTATGACTGGCAGATTCTCTTCCTTTTCATAATTACCTCTTGTGCACAGCAGTGGTGGGACATGGCAGCAAGGTGGGATTTTTTCATGAGAGCTCTTGCCACTACACAACTTCAGAAACGCTCCAATCCAAAGTATGAAGCCATGTCAAAAGTATGATGAATCAGATCTAATGGAATCCAGAGGAGAATTCCTATGTTTGCAGATTCCAAACCAGCTCCATTTTCTTCTCAACAGCATTTTTGTGCTTGAGACAAACAATTACTTTGTTCTGCCAAATAAAAACTTTCAGTGAAAGAGTTCAAATGTAGTTTTTCAGATTTTGCTCGTGAGGTTCTGGCAATGTGAGCACTTTCTCATTATTTGCATTAGTACAGACTCAAATTGTTTAAAAAATCCCAAAGACTGTGAGATAAAAACCAATACAATAACTTTTAGCAGTGGAGTCTCTCACTATAGGTTTTTGAATTCTCTCTGTAAACTTAACGATTAGAAAAGTTTTCAACCTAAGGTTGAGACCTAAAATATTAAGACCTAAAGTTCTTATATTACCTAATTTTGACAGCTTGGGCTCCAAAAGCACCAAATAAATACAACAGGACATGCTGTAGAAGTCTAAAGGTTCAGTATGTAAAGGCACAGGGCTAAAGAAGGAAATTTTTCCAAGTGAGGCATCTTTTACTCCTTCTAGCCAAAGAGGTCTAAAATACAAGCAAAGCTTAAGCCACCCCTTGATGTTGGAAAGCCAGACTTGCCTCCTGCAATTACCCTGCATTATCCATTAGCTTTTAATAGACCTTCACAGATTTTACAGTCTTTAATGAATATAACAGGTTACATTTAAAGATCATGGCTTACGCAATTAATTTAAGGAACATCAGGACCGCTTTCCCAACTTTGAAAATAAGGCTGCCCAAGGTTTAAATCATGGCTATGATAAAGATGCATTAAAATCCTTCAGGAGCAGCTCTTGGAGCCTGTTTCTGCCCACCTTGGGAGAGAAGAGGTGCTGAGCCAGGCTGATGTGAGGGGGTTACACCATCCCAGCACTGTGTGGTTGAGAGAACACCGAGAAACTGTGTTTTCTTCTCTATCCTTTCTGCTCATGAATTACCACTGCATTTTAAATCTATACTGTATTTTAAAAGGCTTTCTGTTATGTACTGAAAAGATACCATGGAGCAGTCCCTTCTCCTGCCTTCCCATTCTTCCAGGATATTGTTCTGTTCAAATTCGGGGTAGTGATTCAAGAATAGCAGCAATCAGAATTAGCAGTTATGTTTGAGCTGATAGATAATTCATCACCAGCAAACATCTAATGAAACATTAGGATTATAAAACAAACACTACATGCTATTCTCTGTGTTTGTAATTGCCTTTCAGGTAGGGCATGTGCATATGACTCCAATTATAATACTGGAGAGGCTTAATCTTAAAAGTATCCACTAAAAACAGGCAATCACTCATTAATCTTTTTTAATTAAAAACCACTTTAATAAGCTTGAGGGCTGGATGAAGTCAAAAAGTTTAACACACTCAGCCTGTAAAGTCCCTGAATAATTTGAATTAAACCTTTCCTTCTAGTCTAAATGGAACTGCTGAGTTAATCCCTTATAGAAAACAGTAAGACAAAGAAAATGGAAGCTAAAAGGAGAGAAACTGGAGCAGCAGCAAACCTGCCAGTGTGTTTCCCTCTGGGTATCTCACTGAGGGGCACAAAGAGAAGCTCCTGCCAAGAAGTGGAGCTGTCAGAGCCAAGTGTTTCACTTGCTCTTGCTCCCACAAACACCCTCTTTCCTTTAAGCCTCATGAATAATTGTTCAGTGGTTGCTGTGGCCTTCCTCTCTTTCCAGGCACAAGGTGATGCTGCAGGAGCCAGTGAAGGGAAAAGTCCTTCCCAGCACAAGGAACATCCCCAGCACATCTCACACTCCCTGATCCTCAACCAGCTGCACCTGCTGGAGGTGCCCAGGACAGGAGGGAGCCCACAGACCTGGACACTGAGTTCTTGGCAGCTGTGTTTCTGCATCTAGGGTCTGACATTACCCAAACATGCAGAAGCTGAAGCTAAATACAAAGAAGTAAGTTTTATTATGCAGATCTCCTCTCACTACACACATATGACACCACTAAAAACAATATAAAATGAAAATATAGTAAAAATGGAGCTAAACTAGACACACATCTCTTGCAACAGGACAAGGGGTAAGAGCTCTAAATTAAAAGAGGGAAGATATAAGGAGGAGATATAAAGAATACACTTTCCATGATGACTGTGGTAAAACACCAGCATGGATTGCCCAGAGTGGTGGATGCCCCATCCCTGGAAGCATCCAAGGTCAGGTTGAACTGGGCTCTGAGCAACCTGATCTAGTTGAAGACACCCCTGCTCCCTGCAGGGAGTTGGACTAAATGACTTTTGAAGGTCCCTTCCAACCCAAACTATTCTGTGATTCTGTCACCTTGTTTAGCAAAGGTCACTGAGCTTTCCCAAAAGAAGAAATAGAGCTAAGGGCCAGCACAGCCTGAAAGTCATGTGACACTCTTGCACACCCAGGAACACAGAGCACCACCTCTTGAGGCAGAAACATGGGAAACAACCTTGGAGAACAACCAGGAAAAAAGGGAGACTTTTCCTACTGCTGTTGTAAACTGTGACAGTGTTAAACCACTGAGCTGATGAACAAACTAAACCGTGCTAATCCATGGACCTGTGCATTGTAGAGTCACTCCTGGGATGGTGCAGCTGGGAAGTGAAGCAATGGGATGCCTGAGAGGCTGTGGTGTCCAGTGGGTGCACAGCACGGCCCCACTGCCACCCAGACTGCTCGACTGCATGAGGAATCTGGAAACAGCCCCGGGGTGCAAAACCTTCTGTAAAATGTTGGCAAAGTGAGCCAGTTTTAAGAGAAACAGCCACTGCTCTAAGCAACAATCAGGTCTAAAACTAAAACTTCAGTTTGTTCATTTTTTTCAAAGCCGAAATAGTCCTTGCATTTCATTTGGTGAAAAAAAAAGTGATGCAGAATTGGAAACAATCTTTTTTTGTCATAAAATCCTTTGTTTACTGTTAGACTTCACTGTTTTTCTGACACTGTCTCAACCCCTTGCTCTGCTTCACGTATCTGTCCATATATGTTTTCTTTTTGATTGGGTTACACAGAATTATTTTGAAGGTTGTGCTTGACAGTGACACCAGTGTTTTGATTGCCACTTGGTGCAGATGTTGCATGGTGTGATTTGATGGAAGAAGCTTTATTTTTTCGAAGGCTACAAATAATCTGTCACAGCTGAATGTACGTGTTCACATATCAAACGGGCTAAAAAGTTACCCATGGTTTCATATCCTCAGGCATGTCATAGAATGACCTCATTATTCTCATTTAGGTGCCCTCTTTCTTACAAAGACTCCAAATATTGAATAGCCCGTTATTATCCGCAGAAGCCAAGCTTTCAGGCATGGTGCTAATGACTCCTTAATGGGGCTGTCTGTCAGCAGCACAGTGAGCTGGGAGAGCACACAAAGAAACAGTGGGGCTCCATTTAGGCTCCTCGTAGAACACTTACGCCTCTGCACGGCTTTCCAACAACAAACAGCACTTTGAGAGGTGTCAGAATACAGCAGTGAGTGCAGTTCACCCTTCTGTGCGGTGTAATCCTGCTGTCGAACAAGGTGATAAGGCCAGACAACATATCGGGGGCTGTTCTACAGCACGAAGCCAACTGAGTGTGAGGGGACTTGCTGGTAAAATGGGGAGTTGAGTTCTTTTTTTAACATGGCTTGACTGATCATTTGATTCATCTCCCATCAGGTACTGGGTCCTGTTAAAAACATGCTTTTCTTTGTTTGTTTTTTTATCTGACACACAGTGTTTGAGTCTGCATCACCTGAGTTCTCACACGTGGTGTTTGTTGTTGCTGAGTCCTCATCACCTGAGTCCTCCCCAGTAACTCCCAGCCACTGCTGACTGCAGGGCAGCCCAAAGGCAAGTCCAGCACAGTGGGTCAACAGTAAGTCATATTTTATTTCTACTTTATAATCTCTTGCCCTCCTAAACAGTTACACCTCATCCTTTTTGCTTCCCTGGTGTCCTACAGCCAGGTGGTAAATGGCAGTTTCTCCTCTGAAGGGTTTGAGAGCCAAGGCTTGGTTTTATTTTTACGAAGTCGATTTCTGAAGTTGTTTGATTTCTAAAGAAAACAAAGGAGGGCACTTCTTCCAGGGGAAATGGGGCTTTTTGTAGCAAAAAAATTGTTGGTGATAATACTGAATCAATGGCACTTCTACTCAAGGAAAAAAGAATTTGCTGCTATTTTAAAATCTAATAATCTATATCTCTTTATCACTGCAATGGTTTATTCATTTCATTAAGCTCCTGTAAAACTGTTTAATTATTTAAATCCATCACATACCATTTCCCAGTTTATTTTACACCAAAGCAAAGCACTGCAGTTCTCTGGAGCGTGTGCAGAGGGCACCAATGTACAACGCTCTCAGATACCATGACAAAAAAAGGCGATTTCCATTTCCACTTCTTTTGGCAAGACCGATGGAGTTTTCAACATATGAAACACAATAATTGAATAGTTTTCTGTATTGTGAATGAGGAATGTTTAAACTTGGCTAAGCTTGTGTTTATCCTTCCATATTGGTGTTGAAATGGATGGAAATCCAGAGATGGATCACAAATACAGAGCTCAGAAGAAGCTGTTTTATTTTATTGTGTTTGTTAGTATGTTTAGATGATGTGTAGTACTAGTACTTATCACCAGCAGTAAAATATGATGTGTGTATGAATTTTCTTCCTAGAATTACCTGCTGTAAGGGGATTAGTTTGTCTTAGAAGTTAATTTGCTTACTTTAGGAGTATATTGTATTCCTGATACTTGTGACAATGACAGATTAATTGCAAGCTTGTGGGACATATCAGAAAATCATTAGAATTAGGGCTGAATCATAGGCAAGCAAGAGTATTGTTCCAACCCTATTACAGATTATCACAGTCTTATGTCTTCTTGGAAGATTTTTATTGACAGAGCTTAATCTACCAAAGCAATTTTCAATCATCTCATCAAGAAGTTTCCTCTTATATATAATCCATTACCTCCCTTATTAAAGCTGGCAGTTCTTATGTACAATCAGTTGACTTTGAATAACATATTTTGTCTCAGTTTCATACAGTTTATTAACCTAATAATTTTATTAGCTCCTCTTCAGCTTTTCTTTGTGTTTATGTGATTTTACTTCCATAATTTAAAATGAGCAAGCAGATGCTGATATTTTTGTAGCATGCCTGAAGGGTTTCTACGTTTGAGGTATTTTGGGCATAGGTGGTTTAAATTCTCTTGCACAAAAAGGAGGTACCTATATATCTCTTCCATATATTTCTCTTCCAACAGCTGGAAACATAAAGACAAGGCTAAATAAGATCCAAGGTTATTGTTGGCAATAGCTGCACATGAGTGTACAAATAGAAACAAGATGGAATTTTGGGCTATCAGCAAGCTTAGAAATTTCCTTTTAACTACTTTAGAAAAGGAGGAATTCCCTAGATCTGAGGAGAGCTGAAATATATCTAAAATCAGCAGGCATCATTTTAAATGCCTGTTACATATAAGTAAAATAAACAGGAAAGCGACTGTAAAATAAACAGGAAAGTGACCTGTCAAAGATAAAAGAAACCAAACAAAATCCTACTGTTAGAGAACCAAAACTTTGGGAGGGGTGAGGCAAACAGGGACCACTGTTAAATGCCGCTCTGCTCTGCTGAGCTCCTGGCAGGTGCACGGCAGGTACCTGTAGCTCAAACTCTTGGAAGCAGCCCTGGCAATTATTCCCTCCAAGGAAACCAAAATGAAGAGCAGGGAAGAGGGATAATAATGCCCATATACTTGGTATCAAGATGTAGCTGCCTCCCTTTGTAACTGAACAAAGAGCTGGAACTCATAATAATGGCACAGCCACTCCTGACACATCACAGTTTAGCTCTTCTTTGGAAAGAATTATTCCATTGGCGTCATTTCAGTCAAACGTGGTGATTTGAGGAGCATCTATCAGTGCTGGACTGTTGCCAAATAAGTAGATTGTAGCAGTTCCTTTTCTGGCTTTTCTAAATGGTGCAACTCACGAGCTCACACTTAGCAGCTGTAATATAAATGTAGCTGTAAGGAAAGCTGTGTAGCTTGTCAAACCCCTTTGTAGCTAACAAAGGAAATGCATTCGTTTGTGCCACGTCTCCAAACTCTGTGTTTAAATAAATGCTGAGTATTGTGACTCCAGCTCACGAGCTAAGGAGCTGCATCAGATATAGTAACTTGTATTTTTATATATATACATATATGCAAAACTGTGGGGAAATATATTTATATCAAAAGCTGGGAAGTGTTTTCCATTTCAGTTTATTTGGATTTAGCTGAGGTGGAATAGGAACAGGTTATTCTAAATAAAGCTAGCACTGAAATAAGGGTGCCCATACACCTTTTTTACACATCTTTTTAGTGCCCCTTCAATACCCTGTTCAGGTTCTGTTGGCACAACTCCCACACTCAGACAGGCCCTCATTCCACAAATAGCCTGTTTCAGAAATGTGTAACAATTGTAGGAATAGCTGAATCTTCCTCCCTTATTAACTGAAGGGAGTGGAATCTCACTATCCAGACTTTGGAATAGAAATTCTCTGAAGCCATCACAGAGGTAATTGGGCTTGGTAATTACTGCATTAGCTGCAAGTTTATTAAGGGCCACAAAAGGAAATGCCATCCCAGTGACCTTTGGGGCTGCATTTCACAGCATGTTTTCTACATGAGAACAAATGATGAAACTTCACTATTTCTGCCAAGTGAGTGGTAGCTTTGGTGAAGATTTATGGCTGTAATCTGGTAATCTATGGGCCTAATCATGCAGTTATAGAGTTGCATGTCATTTACTCAAAAAGGCTGAAATGATCTAGCACTGTGTAGACTGTGGTGAAGGAGTGCATTTTGTCATCTGCAAGGTTAGAAGAAATACAGCCTCTTTAGCAGACTGTAAAAGAGAGACAAGAGCTAATGTTTCTCCAAATAGCAGCCTGTTACACAAAATTTTACAAGAGTCAGAGGGCTAAGAAATGGGGACTGTCAGATGCACTCTCATTTGGAAACCATTATGATTTTCCTCTTTTGTACCGCTTCAATAATTATATAGATTTTCTTTTCTCTTTTGAAATTATTTAAGTCATGCTCACTTCATCTCTTTCAGAGCAGCAAACACAGAACAGACTAATAATGTAATATTGACATATTTAAGTGTTGGGTTCTTTATCTGAGAGCAGCATGTTCAGAATGTATCGTGCCTGTAATGTGCCTGTGTTCCCTTATCTCTGTGCTATGTTCTATTCAACAGTTAGGAAGTGCTAATAAAAAGTGCATATTTCAGTTGTTCTATTTTAGGTAAACATAACATGGTACACATTTCCTAAGCAATGCACATTGGTTAACTGTGCAACTCCGTTTCTACAAATAGAAATAGGAGTGGCAAATGCTTTGCTTCTCTTCTTAATTAACCTACCCATGCCAAATCCAGTATGTTCTTCAGCACAAGCAGGGAGTTAAATTGATGCCTGAAAATTTCAATTAATGCTTCTTTTTGTGACCTTTTGGCTAAGAACAAGAGCAGCTTCAGTTTAGCATCTGATGCATTCCCTAGCAAGGAAGAGTGTCAGCCCGGGTCCATGTGCAGCTGGAAGCAGTGAGGGAGCAGACACATCATACTGTCTTTGCTTTGGAGCCAGCTCACCTGGGGAGGGGAGATGCTGCCCAGCCTGCAGCAGGTCTTGGCTCCTGCTCTGGCTGTCAAATCCAAGTTCTTAAATAGCTATTTAGAACAGGGGCTGAGGTCCAAAAGACAGGCAGTGATGTGTAGATCACCTGAAATGTCACGATTCGACATGACACATTTGCTCCCTTCTCCTCCCCACCTGCTCGCCCCACAGGTCTGCTTTAAATCAATCTTCTCACCTCTCCCAAGACTCACAATTTAAGCAGAGCAGACGCTGATGAAAACAGATTTATAATGAAGCTGGTGGCCATTAAATACCAGCCTTACACCAGAGGTGACCTTATTGTAAAGCGTTGTACAGTGAATTTATTGTGACTCTGCACATTCTATACCTTGTCTCGCACGCTGCAGACGTGGCAGCCGAGGCAGTGGTGGCGGGAGGTCTGAGAATAATGCCCACGTCTCACTTCATTACAGCTGCACTTCACATCCCAGCAGTCTTCAAGCCTCAGGGACAGCGCATTCATTACCTCTTTCAGAGACATGTATTTTACATATATGGCTGAAAGGTGATTAGAATCCCTGACAGAACAGCATTTTATCTGGAATGCAACCATGAAAAATCCGTGCCTAAAACAAAAAAGACATCCTACATCCCTCTCCTAATTGATTTAAGCTACAAAGACCAGCCTCAGTTTTCCTGGGGCGCAGGAACTACCAGGAAGACACAAATTGCATGTTTTCAAATCTCCTTATAAAAACTCCTTGACAGGGGGTTGAAACCGGAGTTTTGTGTTTCTCAGATGTCCTAGTGCTGTGAATGTCATCAGTCAGCAGAAGCGCACGTGCTGCCACCTGATCATAAAGAGCAGTTCTGTAACAACCCTCATTTCACGCTGCTGATTCCAGCCCTCCATAAATCAGCAACACCACAAGTAATGTTGGAAATAATCGTGTGCTCCCGAGCTCCCCTCTTTTACGGCCCAGGTGCCACACAGCTGTAGCCATATGGTAGAACACATCCTGCTGAAGTGGGTTTTAGCAGCACCTCCAGTGGTGATGCTCCCCGAGTGCTTGGAAGCTTTTTAATGCTGCAAACTGGAGAAGTGCAGGTGTACTCAGTGGTACCACTGCAGTGGTTTTCCTAACCTTTAAAAACGTCACAAATGGAATCAGCTCTGGCTTAAACCAGATGCTCTGCAGCTGAGAAATGGGGCAGCAACTGCTGCTTCACTGAAAGCTGCCTGGAAATGCA